GTTGAATTCTATTTATCAGTGACCTTTCGGAAATGACTCTTAGGTAAACTATTGATATTCTGAAAAATTTGCTGTGGAACAGAAAGACGATAGAGACATTTTTGATATATTTAAAGCCTTTTGTATCAAATACATACCGTTTTGTATGCTTTATAATATATATGCCTTGTAACCCGAACAATTTCCCGTTGTGTGAATCTAATATTCCACAAAACACTTATATATGATTGAGTTTTTTTTCATCTCGCATTAAAACGGCTGAAAACATATGACATCATCATTTAGTATTTAGTAGTGCATTTCAAAACTTGAAATAAGCGTGGACAGCGTTATGACATTCATTCTAACGGCAGTACTCATTCATCATGATCATACCCCCATCTAGCCGCATCGTCACAGGTTATCATAGTTACGCTGTGCACCAAGCAGTTGTTAGCGGCCCGTCTATTCTATCTTATCATTGACTATGCTGCCATTTCGACGACTTGAACGATGCTCGCAAAAGAAGATAAAAGCCGAACGACCAGGTAACGTGTCAATGGATACAGAAAGGTGTTTCGATGAATGGACGCCGTTAAAGAGCGCCTCGACAACAATGAAGACTATGAACAACAAACGCGATGGTGGCGCCATCGATCAACTAACTTATCCATGCTACGCCATCTTCCAGCATAAGCTATGCGCAGTAACAACATAATGAACTAGCGTTCTTCGTATTGGATATATTCTGTTATCGCTAACAGGTATCATAAGTATTATCATACGAAAACGCTCAGAAAAACCTGTAGAGTCTGTAAAGCGGTTAAGCACAGTTATAATTATATAGCTACTAGTACCCTAAATGAATTTACAGTATTACGCAGAGGTAGAAGCGCGTATATACTTAGAGCACAGGTTTTTTTTTTTGACTAAGCACATGTCTAGATTTCTTCAAAAGCCCGTTATGATATACTTACGCCGCACGACATAATGATTGAATATGGTCATTCATCTTTCATTTAGGAAAAACGACCTCGCATAAAAGAAGGCTTAAGTTTACCTAGCGTGAGCAGTTAGGGAACGGCCTAGGCTGGCGGATAGGTCACACTATCCCCACCATTTATTCATTAACAATAACATGTCATATACAATACAGAGGTGCTTGTTAGCAACGGGTGTAAGATCTGATAGCAGGGCGGCAAATGGCCCGCAAAATTCCTGTAACCTGAATGCCCTGCAATGAAAAATGGAAGGTAATTGCACAACGAAGGCTGAAACTGAAAAGACCATTTTGAGCGTGTACAACTGTGTGTGTAGCGTCGGCCCGAGCTACGAGAATAATACAGATCACGAAGTCCTAGCTTTCCTATGAGTGAAACACATCATGGAACAAATGCCGTTCGTGGGTGGTAGCCTCAAAAGCAGATGATGTTATTACATTGAATGATTAATCACAGCCCACATGACATTTTCGAGTGAACGAATGCGACAAAAAAAAAGTCTATATCTTTAGTACACTTTTGATACGACCTTTTTTTCATTGGTTTAACCCATTTTCTGGGCTTTGTTGTATTCATCGAAGCGTAGACATAATCAAGTAATCTATTTCTTAAATATCGTTTCTTAATATTCCGTCAGGTTAGAAGAGAGAGCTTTGGCATTAGAGTGGATACGTGTTCTTGCAGGTGACTAGAGATAGATGCTTTTGCATGTAATTAGACAATCTACATGTACATGAACTCTGTGGAAGGTTGAACGACAGATTCTCTGTACTTTATTTGGTTTATCTCATCTTCAAGCGCTAGAAAGGAAGAGTCTTGGTTCACATAAGTTTAGTCAAAATAGGCCTTGGCACCCTTTTTGTTTCGAGTTTTACGTCCGGCGTCCCCGTTAGGTCATCCATTCGACGGTTGGTTTCCAGCACCAAACGAACCATGTGTCTATGTTCGGTGCCCGTAGAGTATGAATGCGATCTAGCCGGGATACCTGTGTTTCTTAGATACGCGCATAGCAGAAGGCCGTTTTCACTTATTATTAACTGTTATTTATAATAAAAAAAAATATTAAACAATATTTTTCAAACGCGTTTCAAGAATGTTAAGTATATCAATTGGTACACGCCTTGGAATATGACATTACACGATATTTTTTTCACACTTGTGCGAGATTGCAATACCTTTTCGCCATCGTCAAAACGCCACCTCTCTGAAACCAATGACGGCTGCTCTTCTGTTTCAGCTAAACCGTTACTAACCCGTGACTGATGCCTAGGAGAAGCTATCGCAGAATCACTGAACTAGAGGAGAGGGCGAAGGAAGCTTACAAGGGCAAACATGCTCTTTGTTTTCCAGCAGCAGGCCATAGCTACTGCTGATACGGTGCTCGCTGCTATAGTTGCAATTGCCCTACTCAGCTCACAAAGTCGCGCCACTGCTATGCCAATGACATGACAGCCTTCGAAAGGCTGTTGCTGTTGTCGTGATGATAGTGGCCTAGACCCCTTAGAGTTATCATAGCATTATTAACAACGGCGTCCGATGCCAATTTGCAATTTGGACCACCAACACCAAACGAATGGTTTTCCGTACCACATTTAGGGAAGCTGAACAGCAATATCTCGGTTTGCTGTTGAAGAGCTCAGTCATCCCATTATAGTACTGTAAAAATTATAGCATAATCGATAACATCACGACCTTACGTACCTGCGGACTGATAGGAATGCTGCACTAGCGCCATACTTAAATGCATGTAATGTATAACAGTTGACACGCGGGAAGATTCTAATCGTCAATGCGAACTGATATACGCGATCGTAAACGCGATATAATCCTTCCTCACCCAATAGAAGTCAACTCAAACCTCTCAAGACCTTTTTGTTGATCGATCATTAGACGACCCTGAGCTGCACAAGAAGCAACGATATTCACAGACGGATAATGTAGCATTGTTACAATAGTCTGGTATTCAAGCCCGTACTGGTTCCCATTTTTTTTTTTCTTTTCTAAGAATTACATTACTTATAAAATAATGAATTTTTATTAATGAAATTGCTCATAAGTCAAACAAGTAGGTTCTTCAAATCTTTTTGTTCCGCTGCTTTATTATCCCTTGACGCTTTTGAGATATAATAATTAACTAGTAGAGAAATGTTTTTCCGTGAAATCTGCGGTCACTTGTGGGTCCGGTAATGCAGTGTGGTATATCTTGAAACGCCCGTTAGAGAAAGGCCGCTGTTAACCAGCCGAGTGTTTGGGCTGTATTAAAGGATCCTCTATCGTTCAGCCTGATCAAGTGGAATGTGTCTGAGACGTGCTCAATAGTGTCTGAGCAACTATTACGATTCTATAATATACGTCACTTATATTTTTTCCTATCCCGATTCCGCAGCTCCCCTAGGTTTTTCGTATTTTTATAATACGAAGTAGGGTTAGTTTGGGTCTTTATCACATTTAGATTCATATCTCAATGGACGGTCAAGCTAAGCAACCATCTTATACGAGGTATCGAGATTTAGCAAAACTCACTTTAATTTTTTACTTCACAAATTCTACAACTTCATCATCGTCATCGCTTTTGGTCCATTAATCTCAATTGCAATGGCTAGACGTCATACAACCGGGAAATACGTTTGCTTGTTTATTCAATATTGAACGAAGACTGTTCGCATATGTTTATCTGTGCGATCTTTTCTACAGATGCGTTGTTATACTTTATTTTGTCTACCCACGAAAATTAGCTTTATTATTATTATTATTATTATCATCATCATCATAATTAGTAGTGGCAAAAGCGGCAAGCTCGGGTGACGTTCTTAGCTGGCTGGCCGACCCCGTTTTGCTCACGTAGGGCTTACTATAGGAAGGGTAGCGACAATTACTATACTAACACTGTTCTATGATCATGATTAGCAATTCTGCCTGGCGTTCTAACACCTTCGCTCATGCCGGTGTTCCCTGTCGTCAATTTAGTCGGAGCATGCAATTTGAACGTGACGCCGATTCCGCTACCCGCGTTCTCTAGGGATCACCGTCTGAATTCCTTTTACAATGCACATGTTACAAGCGGCCTATTTCACTGGGCGCCTGTGTGATTCATAGGGCTCGGAGCGCTGATCCTGGTGGAAGTGGAGCGCGTCGCCGGTTGTGGACATGTGCATCACATTGAAACACAGGGCGAGAAAACTTACGAAAAGAGGAAAGTTTGGCAAGCTCTGCAGCGACAAGAAAAGATAACAGGGGGCAGGAATGGAATCGTGCGGCTTAGGGGGCAAAGTGGAGAAGAAAGAAGTCTCCGGATGGAAGTGCCGAACGCGCACTTGGAAGCTGGAGTGCGGGATAGTCATTACTAGCATTAGTAGGCACGTACACCCGATTAGGCGCATATGGACGTGTACCGTGAAACGAGCTAGGTGGTTTCAGTACATGCGAACGAGTAGACGTAAACGTAATTGCTAGAAAGGGCATGATAATAACTTGGCCATCATAGAGACGTACCGACGATTCGGACAGAGGTGATATAGTGCGTTAAGTGCACGAGTCTGCCGAGTGAAGTGACGAATGCTGTTCATCCGGGATCACCTTTCTAAAAAAATATCCGATAACAGCCTCAGCAAAATACGTTCATCACCAATGACTATGACTCAGTTGGTCATCGCAATGCCCAAATGGCGGGCATTCTAAGGGGTAGCTAATGTTGATAAATAATGAATTCTATTTGTTAATAGCACTATTGCCATGCAGCGTCTAAGCTACGGGCTTTCGATTTGAAGTGTCTAGCTTTTGTGATGCATAACCCGTTGGGAAAAAGATATTCTAATCAGCAATGTATTGTTATACGTTCGGTAGTTTGGAAGTTGTAAGTTCGGTATACGGATTCTCATCAATCAAGACCAAGACTAAATATTCATCATAATAGTTGTTATGTAATGAGTTTCATATTTTCATAAAGACATATAAGGTCAATATAAGAAGAACGGTACACTAAATCAGGATATAGTAAGTTCAGCGTGTCTTCTATTGCAGATGTGGAAACCCTACAAAACAGCGGAACTACCGCGGGGAACAACCAGCGACGATTAAATCACTTTGTACGTCACTACGAACCCGTTGTCTACGATGATAAAGACCTACATGCGCGCCATGAACGAGTTCGCAGAAGCGCGGACGATCCTTCAAACACAAATAAGCCATCCGTTCTACATCTACGCTTTCGATCGCATAATAGGTATATGTGCCATACAACTTGTCGGAAAGTTGTAAAGTCTGTAAACTCGTTTCCCGTTCTACTTCAAATCCCTATGAAACTTTATTTGCCAGAAATTTTTTCTTCTAAATGTATTTATGCGAATGAAAAAAAAAAGTATAGGATTTGTGGTGCTATAGCCATTTTTTATTGAGATCAACTGTTCAAATAGTCTTTTAATGTATGCTTATATTAAGAGTTTGGTAGGATTTTTATTAGGTTCTACCCGGAAAAAAACTGTCGCATCGCATCGCACATTTCAAGTAAGGTTATTCGTTTAATTTTCGTTCACTTATAGTAGTTCCGTGCGGAACATTTAACAGATTTCAGTAGATTCTCTTGGGGGTTGTTTTTTGGTTTGCGCGCTAATTAAAGCGTGAGGCATAATCAGTAACAATTGTCGTTGGGCTCCTCCTCGGAGAAATGTTTATTATTGGAAAAGTTTACGAATTTAAATTCTGCTTATCAGGTTCACTCCCTAGACCGTACCGGGTTAAGTTGCATAAGTTTCCGTTATAAGCAGATTTCCTTCGAAAGATTCATGAACGAACATTTTGTTAGATCAGCTGATGTCCCAGCCTCTCTCTCTTTGGTGCTATCAAACTTAAGCTGAAACTTTAAAAGAATTAGATTCGTAGCCAGTACACTTATAGGGATGTGCACATCTCATTCGCTAATTGATTCTATTTTAATTACCATGTCCTATATCACGCAAAGGCAAGCCTTGAGCTAATTAGGACGGTAGCAGCGATCTATTATTAGACACTGGTCGCCATGAAGGCTTTTTAACACTTGGATAGATTTTATTTCACTCAGATTTTAAGCAAGCCTAAATCTACCTAAGTCCTAGATTAGTTTGCTCATTTTGCCTCTGAGTATTTTTCAGTAGGATCTGAAAGTCATTCGTTGTAAACTGTACGCTACCAAGCATGTACCATCTATATATATGGATATATATATATATATATATATATATATATATATATATAGGTAGTTTCTGTCAAGTAAGTTTGATTGAAAAATGTGACTTCTAGTGCCACCAGCATGTTGGTCTGAATGTCGCAATAGGATGTTATTTCGTATTGAAGTTTTTAAACGAAACGAACTAATGTACGCAATGGTAAACAACCAGAACGGGTCATCTCCATGAAGATTTCAACTGAAGAACTCTATGAAAATAACATGCTTGAATGTTATAGTAATTAAAACTCAACTGAAAAATTACTAAAGTGTCGTTTTTATTTGCGTACGATGTCCTAATTTGTTTTTATAGAGTATTCCACCTCCGTCTGAAGCGAGACACGAGCGTCTTCTCAGACGGTCTGCAGGTAGAAGATCACGAAGGCCGCCGGCTGCAGGTGGATACAGATCACCTCTATTCAGGCGAGATTGTAGGAGAACGGGATAGCCACGTGTTTGGAAGCATTCACGATGGCATCTTTCAGGTAAACCGGAAAGTTTATAGCAAAATAGCGAATCGATAAAAAAATACTATTTCGTGGTCAGAAAAAAAGAATATCGAATGGTTTCTCTATTAGAGATTCTTAAGAATTGCCCGAATCGGCATCTTATCCCTTTCCACTACACGTATCGTACTTACTTTGCTCATAAACCTAAGGAGAAATCCTTGGCTGTAGTTTAGGCGTCCTACGAACATGCTCGGCCGATAGGTAGGACAGAACAGTGCATGGAAAAATGTGTCGTTCGAAATAACAAAATTTCTTACCACAAAGCTTTATCTACGGCTCCATAGTTGTAGATTAATGAGTCTCATTTTAAAGTAGCTGCTATTCTGAACGTTTCAGGGACGAATTGAGTCTACACAGGACAAAGAGCATTATTATGTGGAGCGGGCTAGTTACCATCGGCGACCAGGAAGCTTGGCGCTTGATGGGCGTATCAATGGTCACGAGAAAATGGCGCACACACGAGCCACTGAGGGCTCTGAAACTGCTGACAATAGCGACCAGATCGAGCTGGGCCCCCACTATCATTCGATCATGTATGCAGGTTCTAACGTCGAAATCCTTGGCCACCAGGAAGGACAAGGCAGTAAGTAGGCTGCATATATAACAAATGCAAGAGGAAAACGTAAAGTATTACTGTCATTTACAAAGCTGAGAGAAGAATTGTCGATATCGAGCAATCAAAAGCAAAATTTCAGAGCGTAATTATGGTTTGCTCTACATATTATAGAATGATTCTGACATTCGGGTTACTCGATAACAATGCGTCATTTAGCTTAGTTTCATCCTTCGTGGTACGCTTAGATGGCTGTAGGTTTCGGTTTAGAAGCGACAGTCATCATAACTAGTGTGAGACACAGATGTGTGCGCCAAATGCAGGGCCTACTTAAAGCAAATACAGAGGCAGAATGCAAGTCGTCGAAAGGTCCCTCCAGATGAGCAGTGCAGTAAAGGCTGCTACTGAATGGAGTGTGAAAGTTCTAGAGGGGGTCGGTGGGACCTAGTATGTCTATAGGTAATGCTGCTGTTTCTGCTGGGGGTACACTAGGATGATCAGGGAGTTGACAGAGGAGAATGTAATCGAAGGATTGGAACATTCGGGGACGCATGAACAGCAACGAGATAAAGGTACCTCCTCTTTTCCTCTTTCCCCCTCCGTCTTTGTGTATCGGGTGGGATGAAGCTGCAGAAACTAGACGAGAGCCGGTAAGTGGTTTATGGTGGATGGAGCAGTTCGCTTTCCGCTGAGGGTAGGTCCAAAATCTGAGGTCGGGACTACGATTCAAAGTGCCAGTCGGAATATGTTTGACCCTTGCGTAGTTTACCAGAGAGACCGCTTGATTTTTCTGGGTTATGCAAAATACGCTGGAAAGCACTACAAGATAGTTCAGGAATCATTCTTTAGAGTGGACTCGAATAGATTTGGTTTGAGGTGTGTACGAATTATTAGTAGTTTGTAATGTATTAAATTCTCAATTGAGTATACCATAGGTAACTAGAAAAAGCATAACATGATTATCCCTGGTGGGGATACTGGCGTATCATTAAACAAGTAGCCTTAATGAATAATTATCCGAACTTAATATGGGCCTCTTTAACACTTTGTCCACATCTATAGCAATATATTGAGATAAAGAACATACATTTTACTAGCTATGTGATGGTATCGGAAGATATTGTCGCATTGATTAGTACGCTAAAGCATGAGGAGAACTAAAATTTAAATATAAGTTACATGTGCCATATAGTAGTGCGATTCGACAAGTAGCGTTATCTAACACATATCCAGCTTGTCTACTAAATCTGCTGTATTTATTATTGCGATGAAAAAATTAGATCAACACAGTTATCGGATTGTTGCGCTACTTGTTATAGCAGCTAACGCGTCATCAAACGACGCTGATGCTTTTGATGTTCCAGGTTGTGGAGCAACGGACGACGCGACCCGCAAATGGATGGAGCGAGTGGCCAATTCAGCCGTGGAAAGTATGCAGAGCACCACTCGACTCGAGCACGAGAAAGAAACTACAAAGGAACAGCCAAAGGACACAAAATACGGCCACGCACAAGACAAAAGCCAGCGACGCAAGCGTCACGAGCCGCAACTGGAGCGTCGAGAGCACTTTGAGGAGATGAAAATCGAAGACGATGAAGATTTCTCACGAACGATTTGGCAAGAAGAGAAATGGAAAATTCGACGGTCGGCTGCACGTACGAGTCATGGAGGCTTAACACAACACGCGCACTTGTATTCCGATAACCCTTTAAAATATAATCGGGCACCACATTCAACACTTGCCAGCAATGCCAATCGAAGGGTAAACATTTCTAATTATTACTCTCAGTTAATTGTTGTTGTACAGATACATCACAACAATTAATAGGAGCAATTTTTCAGTCATTTTCGGAATAATTTTATTCGTTATGCAGATTATCTCAAATCAAACATTTCCATTTACCCCTTTTTCAGATGAGCATTGTGTAAGGAAAAGGAAACCTGGTAATAATGGCCTTTACGAATCTTTATACGCCTTAAACGTTTTTAAAGATCCAGAAATCCGAGATTACTCCTTATACTATTGAATAATGCTGATTGTAACGATTGTCGTAATTACGTTTGGTTATCCTACTCAAGCCATTCAGGGGTCTGTTACTTATTACATCGTTGTTACAGCCTTCATAAATGATAATAAGTCCATAATTGTTTTGGCACACAGGTATGTAACCTCTTTGTTCAAACGGACACCTTTTTGTGGGAACATATTATTTCGACTGGGAAAGATAATGCAAAAGCTCGAGAAGAAATTTCGTCCCTGATCGCGCAACATGTCGAGGCGGCGTCCCGAATCTACAAGAACACTGATTTCAACGGTATTAAGGACATTAAATTTGCAGTCCAACGTATCCGCATAAATGACACCTCAGCCTGTCAAGGGCCAAGCCGATTTACCAACCCATTTTGCGCGGCTAACCTCGACGCGAGTAATTTCCTCAATCTCAACTCACTTGCTAATCACGACGACTTCTGCCTTGCCTATGTTTGGACCTTTCGGGATTTTCAACACGGCACGTTGGGCCTGGCCTGGGTGGCGTCCGTCAACGGCGCTTCGGGTGGTATCTGTGAAAAATACAAGACTTACTCGGAAAATAACAACGGCCGTAGCGAGAATGTCCGACGCTCACTCAACACTGGAATAATAACGTTTCTCAATCACAATGCCAAAATCCCGCTAAAGGTATCAGAAATCACGTTTGCTCATGAGATAGGCCACAACTTTGGCTCGCCACACGATTTCCCGCCACGCTGTGTGCCTGGTGGTAACAATGGCAACTATATCATGTACGCGTCGGCGACGCAAGGTCATCAACCAAACAATCAGAAGTTCTCCGACTGTTCAATTGCAAATATTTCAAACGTACTGCACGCGATTTTCAAGGGCGAACAAAAAGAGAACTGCTTCCAGGAATATCAGGGTCCATTCTGCGGCAATAAGATTGTCGAACTAAACGAGGAGTGTGATTGTGGCTACGATGAACGTGAATGCGACGAATCGTGTTGTTTTGCTCGAGACAACAGTGAACGTCAAAAAGGTTGCACCCGAAGATCGTTTGCGCACTGTTCACCGAGTGAAGGACCGTGTTGTAACCTTCGGTGTGAGTTTGAGACGTCAGGCAAACCATGCAGGCTGGAGACAGATTGTACGGAAGTCTCGTATTGTCGGGGTAGTGCGCCGCACTGTCCTGCCCCCGTACATAAGCCTAATAAGACTGAGTGTAACAATGGCACCCAGGTCTGCTGGAACGGAGAGTGCTCGGGCAGTATTTGCAACAAGTATGGTTTGGAAGAATGTTTTCTCACCGAGGACAAGACTCCTGATCCTGACAAACTGTGCGAAGTTGCCTGCCAACAGTGGAATAAGCCCGAGACTTGCCGAAGCACGTTTGAGATCGAGGCGATGCGACACATTAGTGGTATTAAACGACGACCGGGATCTCCATGTAACAACTTTCATGGTTACTGTGACGTATTCCAAAAGTGCCGTAACGTTGACGCCGAGGGCCCGCTCGCACGACTTAAGCGGCTGTTGTTCAATAAACAAAGTTTACACTCGGTTCGTCAATGGGTTACTCTCAACTGGTGGGCTGTTCTTCTCATGATGGTCTCACTCATCATCACCATGGCGTGCTTTATTCGCTGTTGTGCTGTGCACACGCCAAGCTCTAATCCACGTATGCCGCCAGCTCTTCGAATAACGGATACGTTACGAAGACCAGGTGACACGTTTAAGAGGCGGGTAAGTGAATTCATTCCACGTGTCAGATACTAAATGAAGCTATCTCATTTCAATCACGCTTATATGAACAAATGTATAGAAACACATAATATCATAAATATTCCGGTTATCAAAAATAACAACCTGCTACATAAATACGCCGCGGATAGGTGAAGTATGTATTCTGACAGATGTGTGTATTTTGTTCTGGTTTTGCTTGTCGCAGAAACGCTACGTGCCGCCCGTTGAACAGAATGGACCTCCACCCCCATACCCCGGCGTTGGGGGAGCGGTGGTGGCTCCATCCGCGCCGCCAGGGCCGTCCCAAGGGCCGTCGATGGCAGCAACGCCAGCTGCTACCTCCGGACCTTCGCACGGCTACGGCCAGGGACGGGGCCATTACAACCGCTCACAGCAAGGTGGTCACCCCCCGGGTGGTCAAAGAGGCCCCCAAAGCGGAAAGGCTGGCAAGAAGAATAGCAAAGGCAGCATAGAGATGCAATCACAGCAACAACAACAGCTGTCGCATCACGTCAATAACGCGACTAGGAATCAAAGGGTGCGTTCGTAAAGAAAATGTCTTCCGTTGTGGATCTATCTAGCGTGCTTGACCAACTGAAAATTTCGATTATTAAATGATGCAATCAGTATTTTACTTATTGATACTGTGACATCCTATAGTATATTACTATCATGCGTAGTTTATTTCGCAACACCAACTCAACAGGTAAGTTTCTGAGAACAGCTAAATATACATGCCATCGTTCAGTAAGTGCGTGAATTCAGTTAGTAATTTTAATTTCTATCTCGGAAATTGGTTGGCTTTATTTTACTTGTATTTGTAACATTCCGAAAAAAGATAAACCATTTCTGCTACAGACTGCCACGCAGCTTCCTGGATCACAGGCAACTAGGCATATGTTAAAGGCCTAACAGTTGATTTGTATATTTCAGGTATGACAGGACGCTCACCACTGCGAAGCGACAGCGACGAGCCACAAACCACGTCTTCTAACAGGAATATCGCATTCTGACAGCTCTCAAGGCCCAATAGGCCGTGCCCCCCAGCAGCTTGCAAATGGCCACCTCTCCTCTGGCCTTTCCAACGGTTCCTTGGGATTCGAGGGCCACCAGATGCAGCAGGGCTTGCAAGGTCTGCAATGCCAAGGCCCGCTGGTTGTAAGTCTTCCGCCGTCCATCAGTCAATGTGGGCCAAACGCCAAGGAGCGACCACCACGAAGTATTCCTGTGGTTAAGGTTGCTCAACCTGTCAGACAGAGTTGGACACAGGCGCGCGGCTCCAAAAAAGATCATCATCATCACCAGCAGCAGCAGCAGCATCAACAGCTCACTAATGGCATTAGCAATAGCAAGGGCAATAATCACGCTCCACATGAAGAACGAGTCCAGTTACAGGCAGCTTCGGCACAACAGCCAACTCATTCGCACGGTGTGACCACACAAACACCGAGTACTGGCATTGTACAGAGAGTGAATCCTCTACACGTACATGTAGGCAACCCTCCACCAGGTGAGGAAACCCAGAGTGAGATTTTCTGGGACTTCTGATCAAGGCCAGCACTGATACAGCTTACAGGTCAACATCGTAGGGTGCAGCGAAGGTCAAAACCAGGATATTGGCCAGCAAAGTCTGCTGAGAGTTAATTGCAGCAGCTGCTTGTTGATGTTTGTCTGTAGAGCCTTGTTGGAGATCCGTTAGCAACTAGAGAATATGAAAGAAAACATTGGGCAGGCACGGTTTGTGCAGCGTCGACAGATTCGCAGTAGTGGCCAGAATGGATTTGCGTGTCCCTAGTTCAAGGCATGGCATTAGGCAAAACTAGTAATAGGGTAGTGTTCATATGTGATGGTCAGGGGTAAGCCGTTGTTGTAATGGACAACAAAAGTGTTGTTGGTTACAAAGGGACGCCAATATAAAAGTCGAAGTGGCTATGAGCGCGTTAGATTTAGAAGTGCTTTAAGTAGATGGGCAACAACCCTTCGCCCTACGGCGAAATCCCAGCGGCCAAGTCTGATCCAAGTGTACATCCATATGTATATATTTATATAAATATAATCTAAGTCTAGATATATGAAAAAGCAAAACAACGTACTCTGTAAGTGCCAGAGGATATGTTTGATAATGATTCAGTCAATCGATCGCAGAGAAAGATTCGCCATATTCGATCGATGAATGAGACCGACAGGGCTTGTACAGCCGGCGCGTGGTCAATGCGCGATCTCGACCTCTCATTGTTGGCCATAAGCAACGGCATATGGGTAATCTAAACGCAAGCTGACTTAGTATATATATATATATACTGACTGTATTCCGATGTAAGATATCGTCCGATGAAAATTATCGGATGTACATAGTAGACAGTATAAATAAAACACAGTATCACGACTATATTGATGATGATCATGTATGAAACAAACGAATTTGTTAGAATCACACAACGTATTATAATAATATCACTATTGCGAGTGCGATAAATCAAGCAAACGGCGACAAAAAGGTAAATTATACAGTTAATTTTGCGTCTTTGATGGCAACAGCCAAATATGAATGCTAATGATGCACAAAAAGCAACAGCAGCTGCAACAGAAATGCAGTCGAGTATCAAAAAAAAGGTCAACGACATCGATGACCACAGAAGCCCCATCACAATATGGCAAAGCTGACGCTAACGAGGATTATTACGGTGCGAAAATTATTGGGTATTGTTAACTCATAATAATCGATAAAATCATTTTAGACCGACTGATTGATCGACTGGTAATATCTACTGACTGCTAGGAAAGGAACCGACGGCGTCGGCTGACGCTGTCTTATTGCAAAAAAAAAGGAAGAAAAAGAGGTGTGAATGGAAGGCTGTCACATCGTTTGTCCACTAATGACTCATTTATTGGTTATATTGGTACAGTCTTCATGATCGAAGACATGGAATGAAAGAGGAGTTAACAAGTTGTTGCAGACGTCGTTAAAATGGTGCTGACGACCTTCCATCATCAGTCACTATCGGTTCGTTGATGTGGTGCTTTGGAGGTCGATAGGACACTTCCTTTTCGACGGTTGCTAATGTTTGGTCGTCGACGCTTCTGTCGATATTCTGACGACGGTCCTAAATACGTCGTTAAACGACGAAGCTTTTACAAATTTAACCGAATAATTGGAAGACAAAGAGGCACAAAAGAGTTAACAGAAAAACATCATATCGCTGTGTCCGTCTTGTACACGTCGTAAAAGAGCAGACGTTTCCGTAAATATTTACAAGACGAAAGATCCTTTCACTGTCAAACTATTGTGAATCAGGTTATTCGATCCAAGCTATTGTGAATCAGACTATTCGATCGCGTTGCTAACAGCGGGTCAAGGAGCTTGCAGTAGTTTGTAATGTATGTATTATTAACAGAAACATTGCCGTAGGAATGTAACGAGTACTATGTAACATAAAATGAATAATAAAAAAATAAATAGACAGTAAGCAATGTGTTACGAAGGCCAGGGAAAGAATATGCTAAATCGAAAAAGGATTTAGCAAAAGGGAACTGAAGTCGTCGAAGTGACATGAAGAAACTGAAGTGGTCAAGAAGCGTTGCTTCTGAGAGCAGGTATGCGTGATCTAAAAGTTAGAACGTTAAGTAAAAATAAATACAGTCGTGTTAGGTGTAACGAATTTTCTACCGTCATAAAAGTCGTTTAAAATGCGACAAAAGTCACAAGTGGGTAATATGAGTAGGGTAATTCTTTGGGAAAAGACTTGGAGAATAAAGACAAGGGAAGTGATAGAAACAAACGAACTACAAAGGTGAAGCTTGCTGCACACCTAAATGTGTTTAATAAAAAAAAAACCAACTACTTATGTCTTGTATAAAAAACGTTCTCTTGCATAACTATGACTTAGGTATATTACACAGCTATAATATCCTCATAATAGTTTGGGCCTTAGGACAAACAATCAGAAACGCATCAGTAATATAGTGTACCGAGCGTCCTTAACTAAGGAAAATGACATCTTCCAACAAATAGATTCTGATTTTCTATTCACAGCTTAGCCTAAGAAAATCATACAAATAGTGGAACTGATTGTCTATTATTCAGATTAGAAGTTTCTACTAGAGCTCGACTACATAACGGTCTCCTGTTAGGTAACGAACTATGAGAAATACATTATAGATATAGAGATACTAAATAGGCTGCAGCGTATATATATATATATATATATAGATAGAGCGAGAAAGAAAAATAAAGCAAATCTGAGCTATTACAAAGAGAAGCGAAAACGACAGTCCAACTGCTTCTCATTAGTTATCTAGATATTTTAGGTCATTGTACGTCTATAAAGTAATGACAACATTTACTAAATTAGCCTTATCTTATCGTCGCCTTTTCTGAAATAAGAGAATTAGGGCTAGGCCATTGGCCGTAGAGTGCCAAGACGTTGGCTAACGACTAGGACTTTCATACTTCTGCGTCCGTGCTAACAGTAATGACGACGTTTTACTATCGCACTTACTAGTACCGGCACAAATACTCGACAACACAAATATTCGGGTCACGACTCGTCCTGCTAAAGCAGTAGCAATCGAAGAAGCTACGACTCTTGTTACGGGCCGTACAGGGCAGGGCAAAAAACTATCACAAAAAGGGTATGACCTAAGTCATTGCAGCATATGACACAACAGATCACTTGAAAGATGCTGTGGGGTGAAGTGTAGTTTTCAGCGACGGCGCGCTGCGGTCCTTCAAAAAATTCGGTGTAACTGAAGGATATGTTATGAAACGAGATGGCAGGTTAACTTTGCACTAACTAAAAAGCACCCATTTCTACTAGTATAAAAGTCCGACGCACACAACATGATTTATTAGCTATATATAGTAATAATAATTTCTATTATTATATTATTAAGGATATTGCAACATATTAATAAATGCGAAGGTGTTTACGTGTTTTGCCGCACGCACTCTAAAAATACCTATGTATTAATCAACTGGAGCATATTTTTTCTGTCATTGTCAATTATCGATGATTGAAGAAGCCATCACATTAAAAAAACGCGGTTAGTGCTCGAACCGCTGCTGAGGTCACTTAATCATTATTTCGATTTTTGAAAGCTTTATATTACAGAGTAGAATTATCACCCGTCTGGATTAAGTTGACTCTGGAGGATCATCCGTTGCCAGCTGGGGCTCCTAACAACATAAACATATGAAGAATATTCATTAAACCGTTGTATTATGATTCATTTTATAATCACTGGCAAGACCTCTAGTCCGAAGTAGTCACATTTAGCTAAATCCCCTCAACTGACTTATTGGGACAGATACAAGATATTTCTTAATCGAGTACATTAATGTGTGTTAGCTCTACTTAAAATAAACTGTTATTTCAACAACTCGTTGTTTTAAAAGATACTGAGAATACATATGGCTATACAAATTTCGTTCAGATTATAATTGCTTAAAGTGACTATATTAACTAAAATTTAACAACACATTATAGACATATGTTTTAATTGTGTAGGCTTGTGTATGCAGCTGTTTCGGCTCATGCAGGATTCTTCTAATTTTTTTCTATAAGTGCACTATTAACACCGCACTTAACTGTCAATCCGCATAACTTTAACGGAGGGTGATGGCATTTATAAGAAAGGCATGACCTATTTACCACGCGCCGTCACAAAACGAGTACACCCAGTTTTGCGACTTGTTCTCCAAAGCTTCCTTTTAATGAATACTTTTTTAGTTTTTGTTCATAATGCACTGACTACGTGTTCTATTTTGGTCTACTGTGAATAGCTTTTGCCTGCAGGACAGCGTGAAAAATTTCGATTTAATAACACTACTGTTCTTTTTTCGTGTAAAAATAATATGAGAAGAACATAACAGGACAAGTTGATAGGAACAACAATAAAAAAATAAAACGTGCTTTTGGTAGTGCGGCAGTGGCACTGATAACGAAGTATGATTACGATGACATGCCGTTAGGAGGGTTTTGTCTGTGAGTGCAGTTAAGGCTGGCAGCCTCCTCGCTTGTACAGGTCCTCTGCTTTGTCTCAAGTGATTTCTTGTGGCGTCGACCAAGTTCGTGGTACCTGTTGTATGATGCGCTCTTGCTGCGAATCATCCGTAATTGTCGGCTCATTTTCATCTCCTTCAGGTGCGGGTCGCGCACCGGTGGGCGCATCTCCCTCTGCCCCGACCTGGGGTACATCCGTGGCACTAGTGAAGCTGGCGGCGTTTTCGGCTTCGGTCTCGCCATCCTGATCAGAGTCCTTCGTCGAAGGACCCGAAGGAACCGGCGAGCCGGCTGAAATACGAAGTCAAATAATATTGCAACCCATTTTACACACAACACTCGATTCCATTCCATTTGCGTTTTGTCAAGTTACTGATCATAATAGGTTGAAGCAGCACGTTTTGCCCTATTGCGTATATATTCGCCTGAAGGCCATCAATGGGTTTGAAGCGTTGAATGCGACACCATGTGAAACATTGATATGTATTCTATTAGTTTAGATTTCGTTAATACTTGTTAAAACAAGAACTTTATACGAGTCGTCGTAGAAAAGTTGAGTCCGCAAAGAACTGCTTACAACATAGTGTCCTGGCATAGTTAATTCAGAAAAATGTTGATCAAACCAAAAATGTTATGGTTAGGTTCTAAATAACAATATAAAACATTTAACATTAGATAGTATAGACAATCCAGAACTTGCGAAACGTGATATTTCTCTGTTTACACAGAACCAGGAAGTTTAATGTAAATAGTTTGATTAATTAACAATTAAAAGATTTGTGTGTAAAAAAACAGCGCTATTTTTTGTGCTAACAAAACGATTTCTCAAAAAACAAGGTTCAGCCATTCATATCTGGATAGTGTTCATAATTTGAATCAATTAAAAAAAATTGGAAAACCTTCCATGATACACATTACCACAGGCTAATCATGAGGCTGCTTTACGCACACATATATAAGATACAAACGAGCATATTAATATACGTAATCAGGTAAAAACAGAACCCAAACTCAGCATTTTAATCGACGTAAAGTCTTATGGAAAATTTTCCAAAAGCATTTTCGTATGCGCACCTGTTATACCTATCATGCATCTGTTATATTTGATGAGCATTCATTGTTGTCTGGTGATATATGTCGGGAAATTTTCAGAGAAGTATTTATAAAAAGAAAATCACAGAAATAGTTTAAACGTCCGGGGATCAACATGTTTCAATTTTTCCAGTGTTTGGTACGTTACACCGAACATATCGAAGAATCATGCTTTCACTACATTAGCTTGTATACGAAAGGACCAGTTCGATGAATGCCTTGGTGAAGCGGCCTATGATTATCTTTTCAGCAGCTGTGTTTGTCTGCATACTTAAGAGAGATGAGCCAACTTCGACCAAGCCATAGCCGACCTTTGGGGATATTTATTCTAGCTGAAGCCATGGCTGCATTCGTCTCAAAGCTAAATTGATGTTTTATACAGAATTCAAATATTGCTTGTACCGATGATAGCGATTTTGTTATTTTTGGACGTGCCTTAATTTCTTACGCAACTTCAACGGCTCAGAATTAGGTATTTACAGGCTGGTATTTACAAAAAGGATACTTTTCAAATAAATATCTGCTTTAAGGAACAAACATTTTCAGATACACAAATAGTTTTTGATTTTTCCTCTTTAGTTTCATGTAACCATTGAAAATTTCTAATTGATTATATTCGATGGTCAATTTATCCATTTATGTATCCTCAAGTCTAACAATTGCCGCCCGCAGGACATAATGAACTTGCGAACAATTTCTACGCATTTCGCGCATTATATAGTACTTGAGCTTACGTCGCATCCCAAAAACAGCGCGGCATGTGCCGACTGTTCAGAAAGGAGTGTCCTTCCGTTTCTGCTATCCGACGCCTAGGTAATCTATCGTTTCGTCCAGCTCGCTGAGTAGCTTGCTCTATTGTTAAAACGTAATGCTGTTAAGCTAAGAACAGATCATTCAGCGGCGGAGACAACAACGAAACAACGCTTCATCACAATCACAATCATCATCATTGTTTATCTGGCTTGACCGGACCACCACTTTCTTTGGTATCTGAGTTCGGAATGTTTTGCTTTGGTTGCTGAAGAGAAGTTTCGGGGGTTGATTCCTTTTCTTCGGACTTACATCGCGAGATGTCGTTGAGCGACGTGGTCGAGTTAGCGGCAGAAAGGTGATTCAACGAGGGAGGAGGTCCTGGACGTTGTTTACGCGCAGGGTTAAAGTGGAAACAGTAACAACACTGGAACGCCAAAAACTCGAACTCTTCCCGAAGCGCCATACCGTTGTGGCTGCAGCACTTCTTGCAAATCAAAGCATACCTGCGCGAGGATAAGCAACATCATAATGATTGGGAGTGGCGTGTTATTCGTTTACCATCGATCAATAGCAAATTCCACTTGGTGAAGGGAAAGACCGCCAAGTTCTTGGACAGTCCTGAATCTATATGAACCACGATAAGAAGATTATAATTGAAATCTTGTAATAGCAATTAATTATGATCTAAGCATTATGGGACGATCCATTACCTGTTATTGGGTCCCTCACCAACGATATAATCAATAACCTTTTCAACGGCTCCCCTTTCTTGCGGGAGAATAGGCCGCACGGTTCGCGGAGCATAGGGACTGCGATTCGCTGTCAGTACTGTTAGAAATATTAGAAATTGTCAGTAAAACGATTCCAGCTGGAGAGTAGAATAATTTTTTCAATGTATATTTTCTTACTTTCAGCGAGAGATTTGGCTTCATCATCTGAGGATTCGGAGTAAGGTCAATCGATCTGGCACACTTAACTATTCAAACAAATAGCCGGTTACAGTTCTACACCTCACACGCTCATAAATGAAGAAAATATCTGTCAGGTAAATTTCGATTTCGACTAACCTTGGCTTGGCATAGGCTGAATCGTTTTCCGCAATTGGCCATGTTTCAGCGGCGTAAACGGCTGCTGTAGCTGCTGTTGTTGCTGCTGCTGCGGTTGCTGTTGAGGATGTCCCTGAAGCATGGACACATTTTGCATATTCACGGCGTTCATCGGGGTTCCCACCATGCGTCGCCGTATATCCATACCTACTCAGCGAATGGAAATCGCAGACAGTCCATATCAGATAAGCACACGCATCAGTTTCGAGCTCCAGTACCGTGGATGCACTTTACTAGGTAATTTTGTGCGTGTTTCTACCGCGAACGGTCTGATCAAAGTTTTAAGTAAAAGACAAGCTCGAAAAGCCGACAGCGTTATGAACTAAAGTGATCGCACACAATAAAAGTAATTTTTAAATAGATGTAAGCTTATAAGTACACTCACCAATCAGTTATTCTTCGTTACCCCTTCAATCATATGAACTCCACCCTTACTAAGCGAAAAGATGCACTTGTAACTTCCCTAGGCATTTATTTATAACACTTTTCTACGAAGCTACAGCGTTAGAATGGTCGACGATTAGCTGAAGAGATTTCTCACTCGAAATCCGTACGAGGAACCAGCCACAGGATGATCGATCACAGAATGACACAATATCATTGGAACCCTTGCTTCCATTCACAATATATTGATTTAGTTCAAAGTTTTCTTTCCAAAATCCGGTAGCCGTTGTATTCAAAGCATTATTGAGAAGAGCCGGCGGAAAATGCCGCCTTGTCATAGATTCAATACTTACTCGAGTTCTATGTCGGAGATGTAGCTCATCCAGCTTAAAACTACTAAAACGACGTACAAAAACTCTTTTACAATGATGTTTGATGTAAAAGATGTGTAAAAAAAGCATGTAAAAGAAAGTGATTGCGTTGCGTAGACATGTCGTAGGAAAGGTCCTACGTGTCATTGTCAGATGGAAAGGCCTGGTGGATGTTCGACCTTCAACAGAGTACCCATTTGATGGTCACACCGCTAATGGAAGAGATCCTAAAGGCACGCCTTATAGGACGACATTCTCTCCAGTTGTCGAGCAAGTGTATATTTAACAGCATTTTACCAATTATATCCATACGAAGTAGTTCTTGGGAATTACTTAAACGAGGTAACACTTAAGACATACGTCGGCGCTAACTCGACGAGACTAAACAGGTCGAACTGCTCTATACGTGCACTACGGTTACCGTGTCGGAAATACAGAGGTCGAACAAACAAAAAAAAAACCGCCAAACCATTATCACTAGTTTGAGGAAGAGGCAGATAGTCCTGAGTGCACGTTGACGTTCGTGGCTTAGTTCCAGTCATCAAATTTGGTCCACTCAGATCGTTTAGCTCACCGCTTTGCTGAAGTACAGCCGCCATCGCTCTTTGTTGCTCGGCCTGTGCTTTTCGCATTCGAGTGTCGGGATCGTACTTCTCCAAAATCTCCTGCGCCTAGAAAACCAACCATCGATCGAGGCGATGCAGACAATAGCAACAACAAAAACAACAATAGCGACAAGTATTTTGTAGCGTCCAAGAACTTCAAAGCAAGCTAGGAAACAACAGACGTTATTGTTTTAGCTCCCAGTACACGGAGTAGACCAAACGGCACTTCAGTATCAAATCGACATACTGATAACAGGAGTTAACTTATGAAAACGAATCAGTTAACTGTCTTTATTACTAATGCTGTCATATCATAATGCTGGTGCTGGTGCTACCGCGTACCTTCTTATACGTTTCCGTCTCCTTGACTTTGTTGATTAACACTTTCTTTAATTTGATGAGCCGATTTAGTTCCTCTTTTTTCCGCTCAATTCGTGACGTATAATGATATTGTAGAAGTCGTTTGCTGCCTATCAATGACAAACACAACAGCAGCTCAACAATACCAGACACCTCTAATTGAATAAAGTATTTTTATTTTGAGAAATAATTAGATAAAATCGTCAATTCGGCAAGAGCACAGCTGCTTTCGTAACGAATATAGGTTTTATAAAGGAAGCGACTTTAAGCGATTAGAATCTTACTTTCACTCGATATTCAAGTTGGCCGACAAAGATCCGTTGTAAGCATCCTAGACACAATAAGCATTATGTTCTTCCTAACACAATAAATGATCAATAATAAATGATCAAATAAGGTTAGTGGATACTTTTACATCTAAACTGTGCACTCTCATAGAGTAGTTGTGTGGACGTTGTAGTACCTAGAAGGACAACAGGGGCGAAGAAAACCGGAGCAAAACAGATGAGACTAGATGCGAACGACGAATGATCAAATATAAAATAGGCTGCAACACCTCCAATGATGATTAACATTATTCCATAAAATAGCATGGCACCTAAAAGGAAACCCAGAACATAAGATACAATTAATGAAGATGAATCCTCTTTGATGAATCTACTTGAAATGTTGCACTTTGCAGTTGATGATTATCTTTTTCTTACCACTTACACAGAAGACGCAGACATTGAACACAGATACTGCCAATTTAGATAAAAATTTTATTGATTAATTGATTTTGACCTTCTTCTTACATTGTAAGCTAAAATAATCGAACTTTATCCAAGCCAGCTACTTACCAACGATTTTTTTCATAGCATGTTCTGTTGCTTCATTAAATTCATGAATCTGAAATATTTGCTTCTCCAACGCCTCGAGCTGCTGTTCCAACGTCAGTGGGTCTTTCTGTTTGATCCAACAAAAAAATGTTGATACTAAGTTACTATCTATTCATAAAACATATTTTTACTGCTCATTAAAAGACTCATAGCGCTAGTTCATTACGGATTTCAGAAAAACTCGACGATAAGAATTATATTACCTATCTATTCACCTAAAATGATCAATTAAAACGAACACAGAATTAAGTAACGATACGACTACTTCCAAATATTACAAAACAAAATCTATTGCCTACTTATCATCTGGATTAACATCAAATTGCTCCTGTCGAACTCAGCTGACTTTGAAATTGAATAACTTCTGCTGAGCTGCTAGCAGACAAATCTAGCAAAACATTTCGAACGTTGACTTCAATCCGCTTATTTTTGCGATAAACCCCTATGATTACAGAGCTTTTCATGCTTTAAAGAAGTCACATGCTTCTAAACATTTACTTCGAGAGGCCACAGAAAAATTATATGGGAACGTGGATAATAGATATACGACTGTCTAGGATATGCCAGAATGCTGAAGGTAGAGCATTCGTAAGACACTGAAAAATTCGTCACTCCAGCCTGATTGTTTTAAAAATTCGCCAAATTCGCTTGCAACAGTTTTATAGTAGGAATAAAACTCATTTGGCTTTACAGGCTATAAAATAACAGTGTTCAATTAGTTTGCTTCTTTATTTTTAATATGTAAGAACTGATGTTTATCCACTGCTGGTAATTATGAACAATAACCACAATAAAGGAATCATTTACCCTTAAGTTTGTTTATCTTATACATTTGGCCGATTATACAAAGCACAAGTAATTGACGCTATAGGAACAGCATACGTTTAGAAATAAACCGCGCCATTCGTATTTTGAAATGAGCAAGAAGCAAGGCGAAAATTCAACGAACACCAAGGGTAATTCACTTAGGATGATCATTTATTTAAGGTCTTTACGTAATCCAGATCGGCTGTGTACTATTCTAAACCCCACGACAGCGTTGGTATCTGATAAGCCTTTCTCTATGGTTATCTATGACAAGTTAACACTTGTCATAGATAACCACACAGAAGGAATGTTGTGAAAGAAAATTGTGTTACTGAGGTGAGGTCAGCGATGTCAAAGAAGAGGGTGTTCGTTTATCCATTGGTCTTCATCTGTACAACAGACTGGTCCGTCAGCTTCATTCAATTTGCAGACTTTACAATCTGCAATGCCCACATCCTGTCATGCATGTCCATTTGTTCATAAAGGCCTCAGAATATAGTAAGCGTGCTCACTAGATCTGCTGTGATGGATGCCGAAGTCATGACTCGATGGAGCTAAAGATCTCTACGGAGGACCTATCTCTATCGAGGCAATAACTTTTAGTGAGCAAATTCATCAAATGTATGACAACGACTAGGCGTTAGTGAAATCTGTGAAAAATAGCATAGTCGGATAAACAAATTTCACAATTTCCTTAATTCAAGGTATACAGACTAACATTAAGCGAGTTATCTTTTTTTTGCATATCCAGTAAATATTTCTTTAATTATACACAGATGATTCTGTAGAGTTTATTTATCCATCAGATGAAATCGCTATACAATTTTTCAAATCAGTATTTTCAACCCGTTTGATCGTGTCCGGAAGAAACGGCTCCAAACGAAGTATATCCTTAAAGCCTTTTTTTTTTAATTAGAGAGAATTTTTTAATTAATTTTTAAATAGAGGGATGTATATATTTGAGTTTCGTGTTTTGTTTTTGAAGTACAGTGATCGATCTTCATGGGTTTTAAGGGAGTGCATAGCTCTACTGTACGTATCGAAAGTAGGTTACTTGTCACTAGGCGTAATAGGAGATCGATATAGTATGACAAATTTGCTAACTTATCCTTGTGCTGGACTTTCTTATATTTAAGCTTTCAGAATCCTGCAACTAGCACTTGTGACAGCATTCATAGGACAAATTCAAAACAGCTGTTGTTCGTTTTCAAGTAATTTCTCCTGATTTATAGACTCACCCGAAATTTTGAAATAATGGCACCCATCGCAGCTGTTTTAGAAGCACTATACGAATGAAGTGATCTCTTCCTTGTTCCGTCCCACCGATATTAGTCTACGCCTAGAGAAGAACACAAATCAATGAGTACACAGATTTACAACAACACGATTCGTTCTCCGTGTGGCAGTCGCTGTCGCTTTGATTAATTGGGGCTCTGACGACCCATCGATTTCAGTGGGAGAGCTGCGCTGCCGACAATACGGGACACATCAGCAACAGCGGCCATGTGTAGGATAATAGAATTAGGCGTTTTGGTCGAATTTCAACTCGAGTCGTTATTGCTTAACTATACGATTGTAAAGTCAAATGTCCGGCTAACAAGCCGTACGCAGATTAAGAAAATTGTCTCTCTAAACGTACAATCGTGTGTCCTGAAAAAAATAAATCCATCATACTGGGCTCATAGACAAATCGAAGAGACAACTGCGGCTATTGACAGCTGCAGCGACTACTATAGAAGGATCGACGTGTGAAATGTTGAATTATTCTGAAATTATGCGCGCAATCGGTAGATGTCTGTAGACAGGCTCATTGAAAAGAGATTCATAGAAGTTCCAGTGCGTGTCATTCTGTGTAGCATTTCAGTGTGGTGCATGATCGCTGACATTGGTTGTGCCGAAGACGTGTCGCTCTTGTCAAAATGGTTCTTCCGGTGCGATACATTAAATCTCCAATGGATATGCAAAAATGGACGAAAAGCAAGGCGTATGATGACTACATTTTGTTTCTTGTTGCAATGAACAACGCCGCCAAGGGAACTAACGGGAAGTTAGTGTCTACATATCAGTATAACACTTATGTAAGGGGCTAATATGCAACCGATTGAAAGGACTCTGAAACAGCTGAAACTGAATAGTATTCTGCCTGGAGCTCTGGATGGCTAGCTGTTTGAGCATCATAGGTTCTTCCAAAACTCAATTATTGAGTTTTACGATTGGTACCGTCCTTAGGCATTCCTTCAGATGGTTACGTACATAATACACGTTAAAATGTGTTCTACGACTGTATTTGAGCTTCTCTTAACCCATGTGAAAAAAGCGCAAAAGAAATTTAAACTTAGCAGAATCCTGTAAGGTATACAGTTGGTAAACTCAATAGTATTCGTTAGCATTTCACTTAAGTTCAGTATTTTATAATGGACATTTTTAATCATATATATATATATGATATATTAATATAAGTTTGTTATTTAATGCATTGTAATGTCAGACCTGTAATCTTCGTGTTCTGCATAATCGCCGACAGAACCTACGATCGGTGCAGATTGACGGTTCGTCTGCCTGAGGTCATCTTCAGCGACGTATCGGACCTAAAACCAGAAACATTTTAGATTGACTTTTCTAAAGTACAACAAACATACTCTTTTTAATAATATTCTGGCTTGCAGCAGCTTTGCGCTGTACTACGAGACAAATATAGTTTTCATTTAAGAACAGTCTAATGTACTATCAGCTCGCGAGCATTGACTGCGTATGTTGTAATAGCTATAGCTATTCCAATCGCACTGTTTTTTAGTGAGTGAGACTAAATTTCAAGATTTTTATTTGCTCTAGGCCGCCCAATTTTTAGTAACTGACGTAGAAGACCGTTTGAGATGCGGTCTGTCGTTGGAGATTAATTTGTGCGAACCCAAAAGCAACTATCTAATATGACCTCAATATTTAAAAATGTTATCCCATACTAAGTATTTGCTTCGAGCCGTTCTGCCTTTCTTTATCTTTGCCGGTGGCTGGAACACAAGAAATGACTGCGCCCAAAAATCATCGAAGTCTATCTGCTGCTTAGTTTCGCAACAAATGCGTCAAAAAAAGTGTTGATAAGGTACTTGTTTCTCATTTGCGAAAATCGCACATTAAATCATATGAAGCGTATTCTCAGAATCATAGAAAAAAGCGTATATTTTGGCATATTGATAGTGTTGGTGTCACCCCTACATTTATAATAGAAAGAAACATGGAATGAACGTGAGCAGGAGAGTGTCAGGTGTGTAAAAAACATCTTACAAAATCCTATGCGGTCCTTGTCAAGCAGTTTTTCAATTGTAGCTTTGAAAGAAAGACACCTACCTATTCGTTCGCTCCTTTCATTGCTTACACTCACTGGCTTGACAACGGCTTATAACTCACAACTCCATTACCACTCTAATCAAGCTACAAACAGAAATATGTATTAGCACATTTACCGGTTCATACCTCATATTGCAAATTTAAAGTAAGGTCTTGTGTGTAGTATCAGTAAACTTAACCCTTCTCGCGTGAATTAGCTTAATATATGCAAAGCGTGGCAGGTGACGTGTGTGTGCTGTTTAAATGTAAACTACCCGAAAATAAACATGATATTATATACTACACAATAGAACAACTGGTGGCTCCAAACAGCACTTTCGGACCGAGTTCGATAAACATTCCTTTTGTAGTTTCGGCGATGTCTATATGGGAAATCTCAAATTTGCTCATGTTTTTTTAATTTTTTAAATAGTTTTTGGGGTGCTTTCGTGGCGAATTTTCCGGAACATGTTGTCCGATTATTGAAAATATTGCAAAGATTAAAAAAAAATGTTCAATGAATTTCATAGGAACGCCCTACATAAACATTTAGGAGTCGAATGATCCGCTTCAGCATACTAACTGTTGCGATTCCGGCAATCCGGCAGCGGAGAGAATACTCACGATAAATAAACGTCAATCAGAACATTCTAAATTACATAGTCAGGAAAAGATCTAGATTACAGAAATCAAGCGTTTTTACAGAAAAAAAGTTTGGTTTAGTTTCAGAAACATTGCAATAATTGTTGCTGGAATAATTCAGAATGCTCCTCTGTGTAGTTAGGATATCAGACAAACCTTACGAAACAAATCCGGAACATATTTGTCGTGACACCTCGAAAGAGTGATTTGTTTTTGCTCTTAGTCTTATTCATTGTCACTTACATGAGTTCATTGCATCAAAACTTCTGATTCACTGTTATAGGTTAGACATTCCAGTTGTTGCCTTTTATTTAAATGCTTAATGCATTTCTTTAATGCTACAGTAAAGCCGAAGATATTGCGTTAACAAAATCCACTGAACATATTACCATATTGCGTTGAACACCGGTAACGAGCTTCTGTCCAATATTACAGGTCACTTATCAAAACTTCAGAGAATTGCAGGAAGTTAGTGGCTCTCCTCGACAAACTTGATCAGTTAATTACTGAAACTCCACCAGTGCAGCAGCCTGCGCGATTCGGTAATGCAGCTTATCGTACATGGTATTCGAAGATGGAAGACCGCAAGGAAGCGTTGCTCAAAGAGCTTCTACCCGAATCCCTATACGATCGTATCGAGGAGCTGGCCGTATATCTCGTTGATGCTTTCGGTAGGCTGCCAGATAACAGTGAACAGTTTGTAACTTGTGACCTTTATTAAAAGACGCAACGCAACATGCTGACATTTCTTACAACCTAAGCTGCAATGTAGGTCGACAGGTTGCCTTCCTAGAGGCTTTTATTTGTTTCGTTTTTGTTTATTATCAAAGAATGCTTGCTTTTTTTGTGTTGACATTAGGTTATATTAGTAAGAATAACATGTGTGAAGTGATTATGATATTTGCGTAAGATCATCACATCTTTGTAAGTTTTAATAAATATTCTGTTTTGCCTAACTCGACTCTGGCTGCATTTAGGAAATCAAACTCGAATCGATTACGGAACGGGTCATGAGATGAACTTCGCCCTGTTTCTAATGTGTCTTTTCAAGATGGAGTTCCTGAATGAGGCTGATGCACCAGCCGTTGTTGTCAAAGGCTTTGACAGGTATTAGGGAAACTGGTTCTTAAAGTGAGCTCTTATTAGGAGCTTTAATTATGAATAATGTGAAAGAATGCTAGCTTAGATGAGATGAATTTGTGCCGGAAGTTCTTAGCTTATATTATAAGCTAAGAACTTCCGGCATATATATATATATATATATATATATATATATATCCGGAATATAAGTATAATATTTAACTTTATTGACCTTATTTTCAAAAGATACGAAAGCTTTTGACCCGATTGTTTCGATCGAACCGTACGCGTTACGTATTAAGATGATGGCTCACTTATTTAATACCATTTTTCAATTCGCACACTTGCAGATATATGAAACTCATGAGAAGGCTACAAACTGAATACAGAATGGAACCAGCAGGAAGCCATGGAGTGAGTGCCTATGATTTTCTATGAAGATAAATTTGCATTTCTGTTTTCTTATTTTCCCATACGACGAGCCAAGGCCGATAGGAGACTTCTACCACTGCTGTATCTAGGCTCGACTACACATCTTTGGCCACAGTACAACAGAGAAAGAACCGTCACATAGAGACGCATCGATGCGATCAGCACAATAAGCGAAATTCCGCAACTAGTGCGTTGTAAATAAACAAGTTTATTTTTACCACAATATATGAATTGCAGACTAAATGGTATTATTTTCATTTTTCAAAATGTCCTATGGCGTGGCCTCTTACAGGTATGGTCGCTGGATGATTACCAGTTCCTACCATTCATTTGGGGAAGTGCGCAGCTGATCGTTGAGCCTCCACAACAAGCCATTGAAGAAATTTCTGTTCCTTGTCAGTTTCTCAATGAAGATATTCCTGAGAAGTAAGTGTTAAGAGTCTTAACGTGTAGTTTAACTACCAACTACTATATTTCAATGAAACTTGATTCCAACAACTCGGCCAAAGCTTGATTCTACAATACTGTTGAAACAAAATCGAGGTGCAACCTACTCAGCTTCGGACGACTTCACAAAGCGCCATGCACTATTCTACAAATATCCATATATTCTTCCTGAATGCGTCAACTCAGTTCAAACAAACCAACAACTTAGACACGCTGCGTCACATGACGACAGACACAAGACGCACAAAGGTGCCTTTGCGTTCAGGATCAGTTTGCCGTAATACATTGGTTTGGTCTATACGCCCCGAAAAAACAACGATGTTAAACGAATGACAACCTTCATCCTTTTTCTATTACACGTTTTCTCTCATATATACTATTAAGTAATCTAATTATCGCTAAGAGTCGCTGTATATCTGTATTTAATTTATTCCGTCTTTAATTTCTGCACGAATAATCTGTAGGTATATTTAAATATAATTAAATACGTATCTTCTTACTAGATAGACATCTAGTTGAGCAAACAGTACCCATCTAGAATTGCCCTTATACTTATTTGTTATTACCAGATACGAAAATGATTATCTCTTCATGGCTTGCATCGCATATATTAACCGCGCAAAGAAAGGACCATTTTTCGAGCACTCGAATCAACTTTATAATGCCTCAGGAACACCTAGCTGGCAACGACTAAATGAAGGTATTCACGTTTCATCTGGTAACTGATCAACTGGCAATAGATGTTAACCACATTATTCTCTCTTCAATCAGAAAATCTACAACGAATATAGAATTCTATGTACAACATAATTGTAGATACATGATAAGAAATCTAATTCATATTGGTAAGAGATAAGCGAAACGTGAGACAAGGCTTAATCCACGTTTTGATTTTCAGGATTAATCCGTATGTATAAAGCAGAAGTACTGGGGAAGTTCCCAGTGATACAGCATACGATGTTCGGGGACCTCGTATCGATCGAGCCTTGTATACCGCAAGCGGGAGCCAAAAAAACTTTAAGTAGCTGTTAAAGTAAGCAGGAGTATTCGCCTTGCTAGGATTACTCATCGATATCCTCCCTATATGATAGAATACGTTAGTGTTCAATACTACTAAATAAATAACATGTCGAATGTTATCGATTCCACCGATGCTTTCATTATGAGATAGTACCAATAATGAACCAAGATAGTGAAATACATACAACGAGCATAGCTGCATGGCGCTTAATAAGCATGCCATGTACCGCTGAAAATACAAAACTTTGAGAACGAATTGTTTAATTTAGAAAATCAACTTAGTATCACGACGCGCATTCTGGCTGTAGTAATGCTATGCGCTACTTTATGCTCTGAATGTAAAAAATTATAATACACAGCTTTTTTTGTATTAAACCTGCCACATGTACCGTGCTATGAAGTATCAGCATAAAAGAAACTAATACGCCTGACAAAAGTCTCAAGATGAATTTGTCAAAAAAATCCAACTTAATTTCCACCAAGCTATTTCCCCGTAGCTGATCGTGGTCGGTAATTCGTGACGCCTGTCGTCAAAGTCCCATAATGTTCCACTATCCATTCGTTGTTTACTTGACACACTAAATAACGAATTTTATATAACTCCCGGTTCTATACCAACCACTATTTCTAAAGTGCTTAACATAAATAGGATAGTAGAGTTTATTCACGAACGGCTGATCGAGGAACGATTAAATCACTCAGCCTAAAAGGCTTGCATAAGGCGTGTGAATGCCATTGCTGAAAGAAACTTCAGTTAAGCGATCTTTAACTTAGGCAAGACATATTTAATGAGAAAGATGCGACTAGCGATGGTAAAAGGATATGCCTATGCTAATTCAAGTATACAGTCCAGGAAATGGTATTATCTTCCACTTTGGGAATGACGTTTTTTCGACCAAATTCTTAGGTTCGTCGCTTTGGCATAGAAATGTTGTCATCGTCTAAGTCGGCCACGAAGTGCACCGATGAGCTTCCGAGTGTAGTTTAAGAAATTACAGCACCCAGAGACCCAGGAGGTGGAAGGACCGAAATTTTCATAGAAAAGCTTATACATCGTAGATGTGTTTTTATAAATTGTGTTTATAATGTACGAATGTATTACGATGTGTGTACTACTGCTACTAAATAATTACTAGGTTCTGTTTCGAGCAATTCCTGACGGGTATTGATACAGGGATTGCTGATAAATGCTCTTGATTTATATATTGTACGCAGTACCTTTTAAGCAACCTTCAGAACACTGAAATCAGTCTTAGAAGGAAGTTTCTTCAGTGCTACAAACAATGGCGCAAATTTGCAATTTGTGCTAGTTTTCCCGAATCTTTTGTTTTGTTATTTGGTTAAAAAAACTTGCAAATAGGATGTGTTAAAAATACCGTCTTGGGCCATTCTATAACCTTTATTTGATGAACGGGGACGTATACGTAGTGCTACATTAACTACCAAAGCTGGCAAGTAACGAAATTTATCGCAAAGCCACATTCATTGATTGTAACTGAAATGAGCTATGCAAAAACCAAGGAGTTCTTCCCCTGTGCGACCACCAAACTAAATCATGAGCGCTCTTCTGTTGCTTATCATCTAAGTAATTGCATTTCCTAAATTCTTTTATAATTTCTTTAAATTCCCTATAAAAAAGATATTCATTTCTTGACTCATATTACACAATATGAAGTACGTTCACCACGGCTGATTGCAGTCTGACCGATGAATGAGTTTGTCAGAGTCAGTGTTAATGTTGCGTTCAAGATCGGCTGTCTACTTGCAATTTCTTCAACCTTCCCTACGCTATTGAACCACATGAATCAGACATGGCGAGCTCATTTTACCAGCAGAAGTCTCCAATGTATAGAATAAGCCTTACAAATCGTTAAACTAAATTTAGCGCCGTTACTCCCTGAGTCAGATATTGTAGTCACCTCGAAATGATAAAGTATTTAAGTGAACCAAGGGTAACTTGTCGAGGATAAGTCATAATACGAATACAACATATATCCAAACCGCATGCACCGAAATTAAATAAAATCATAGAACAAACCGTATCTTGATGTGTATATTTGATTTATTATCATCTGAATTATTGAGAGCACAGGTATCAAATGTAAAAGCTTTCTTGATCTTCTCTAATTTGGGCTTTTCCTCCATATCGAGACCCTGCGTAGAGAAAAAAATGCATTAAACTAAATCAAACATTTTAAAACAGCTAATCTTTTTATGTCACTGACAGTTTCTGCTGCACTTCATATCTGAGTTGACAATTAATTAGTTCAGATTTGATAAGATCATTTAACATCAATTTCTCTAGTTGATAGCCTAAGCAATTGCGACATGTGCAAATATAGTGAATGACAACCCATCCACATATGATTATTGCCGAAATGATCGAACTAGGCATGCAGGAGAAAGCACTTACGTACACGGACTTTTTAGGACAGGCATTTAAACCAGATATGGTATTTCCTGTTTATTATCATTAAAATTAAAAAAAGAACCATATGCGTAGATCAAAAACAACAGCAGCTACTCGAATTTGTAATTATCTGAACTATAAATGTAAACGGGGAAGATTCTACACGGACGGCCATAGACCTAGGTACAAATTTGATAGATAGTTATCCTCATCATAGGTACAAGGTTACTTACATATGGACTTTAGTGAGGTGCCTCCCCAAGGTTGGGTTCTGGAAGCTCTGGTGCATCGTAGCTTACAGATTGCTCTGGTGTCAAGACAGGCTGTTCGACTATGGGCTGCTGCTGTGGCGTTACACCATAGCCAACTTGAGATAGTTCAGATTCGGTCGGGGCGTAGCTCGACGGTTTCGGCGCGGCTGCAACAGGTGAATCAACCACGTGGTGTTGAATGGTAATCGTTTTGTGAACTGATTGCGGCTGCTGAAGAACCAACTTAGGAAGGTGTAATGTGATTGGCTTTTGATACCACTGAACGGAGGGCGAAGGTATAATTGGCACCTGGAACGTGTGCTGGATATCGGGTAATTGAACAGGTGGGGCAGGCTGAACTTCGATGTTCGGGAATTGCGGCAAATGTGTGAGTACCCCCTGTATAGCTGCAGCCTTTCCCGCAGCCACAAGCTGTGGAGCAGCTAATACGGCTGAACTTGCCTTGTAGCCAGCCTGCGCGCCGGCTATCGCAGCTGGGACGAGAATCTTCCTCTTGAGGTACTGAGCGCCCGCAATCTTCAAACCCGTAAGTCCAATTGCACCCTTGATCGCGAGTATTTTGGGTACCGTCAGCAACTTACCGCCGATAATGGCTGGAACAGCAACGCCGGCCAAGGCTGGTAGCGCTGTTAATTTCGGAATCATCGACGCATCAACTACGATGATAAAAGCGGATAGGGCTGTAAGGAACTTCATGATGAGTCCTATACTTTTGCGCCGGCTTTACGACAGACAAATCATAAGCGTTTAAATTGGCGCAACCAGAATTCAAAAGTGGTCGTACAGCTCGGACAGCGAGGACGTGATATTTTCAAATTGGTATTGTCTCCAGATTGAGCTCTGGATGAAAGCTGCTGGGTTTTTAAAGGAAGGGATCAAGCTACGGTACCGATCTCCGGCCACGAAAGCTGGCAGAGAGAGGGTAGTAGCGGCAGCAGCAGCAGATTACAAATCGGCTTGAGATTTCCTGCGAGTGTCAGAGAAGAACGACTCGCCCGATAATTGCTACTAGGGGGCTTGACTTAAAACTTTGCAATCCTAGATAATTAAGCAAGGACCAAAAGCAATTTTGCTAATCTTAAATGGTTTGATTGATAGCCTTTACAGGGCAACCTGTCGAAGTCATTACTTTGACAAAACGGTACGTACAAAAAATGAATACTAATAGTATTATTTACCTGCGTTGCCTGTATGCTGTACTTACGACAAATTACAGATGATGAATATATTAAGACCTATGTAGGTTTTTCAAGTCGAGATAAATGCCAAAAGTAAGGTCAGTTTTCTTTGACTGCTTAATGTATGAGTTTGCAGGTATGAATGTTGATGTCGTCTTCAAGTTCGAGCTTTCATTTACATATTCCTGACATACTCTATGCTATTGAACTACGTACATGTTTGTGACTTGCTGCGGACCCGATGAGTTCATCTTACCAGCGGAGGTCTCTACTGCATGAAATACAACAAGCTGTACTAATTGCTAAATCATATTTAGCGCCGTTGTTCTCTGATCTCAAAATGATCAACTATTCAAGTGAACTAGTGACAACATGCCAAAAGCAAGAACGTACTAATACCCACACGCTTGTATATATATACAATTTGCTCGCACTGAAGTGAAATAGTAACACAATAAAACTATATATTATTATCAGCTAAATTAAAAATAGGACAAATATCGGATGTAAAGAAATCGCTTTTGAAACTTTGTAGCCAGTCCATTTTGATTACAAAGTTAACTTGAGTGTTCTCTCCACCTAACCTAACTGGGCAAATTTTAAATTTTGATTCGACCTGCAATAAGCTGATGAAGTCATACAGTAATTACACACCCGATAACTGTGCCGACCATAAAATTATATCATTGACAAAAAAGCTTGCTTTGAAGTTCGGTCGATTACGCAACGCCCTGAGTGGGTAATTTAATAACGCGTCGTTTACTACTAACCATATAAATCAACAATTAATGAGTTCCATATCGCATCGTACGTGGATGAATTTTATTGAACTTCAAACTAAACCGCTATATGCAGAGGTAACTATATAGTCAAATTCAGCCTATTTTACAAAACAGTATTTTTTTTCGGTCCTGTTTGACTTATTATTGGGTAAATCGTCTTCTATCAGTTTTGCTCTCAGGTTACTAAAAAGGTCCCGGAATTATCGTAGTTACTGAAGAGAATGGTTTTATCTGTTGTTAAGACATCGGCCGTTATAGCTAGAACACATCTAGTAGTTTAATCAAGCTAGTATATTTGATATAATGAGATTTTCTTGCGCGCTCACACTATATATTGGCTTCTTCGTAGATATCTTAAGAGAAGAAGTGATGCGATTAAATTAGAAACGTCATTCCATTAAATATTATAAGCTCACTGGCAACGAAACTTCGCTCAAGATAACATCATGCGACATGGACAGTTCGTATACTTCTGACAGCTACATCGATATATATATACATATTGGGTAGTAAAAGTAGTACTGATGATTTGTAAGCCCAAATGAAAACAAACGTATTTTATACCTTGCGACAATATTACTATTTTGATGATTACTATTTTCTGGTAATGCTTAATATCTTCCTTGCATAATTTTGGCGGTTTTTGGCCGAAAAATCGTGACAAATAACCTTTGTATATAGTTCAATTGACAGCATTATGGGAATTCTGCAGAAACCCAAACAGATGATGATAGTCGAATGGTACAAGATACGGGGCAATACGACGAATGCATTAAAATTTCTTATCTAAACGCTATTAATTCTTGCCAGATAGCTAATGATAAGAGCATCCTAATTCCTGTCTATTTTTCAACAGCTTGTTGTAATCTTGTTGGTTGTTGACAGTAGAGATCCCAATAGATGATTTTGCCAGGCGGCAACAGTTGATAACGAACGATTTCTATCAAGTGCCACCAAACATATAGCAACACACTCCTTGGCGCCAGACCAGGCTTTGCCTCAAATTGTGAAGTGCACTGTTTTCGCACTGTTGTGTACTATTGTTTATATCCTACCTTTTTTTTTTAACTGTAATACATTGTTTTAGAAATGGCTCTACTTCGTTGCGTCTCAGTAGAATTTTGCGGATGGAAATTTTTTGCGCCAATTCGTATAATGCACAATAAAGCTCGTTTTTATAGCCAACTTCCTTGAAGCGGTGATAGATGTTTAGTCCCTCGGCCATTTCGTACCTGTTCACGTATCGCTCATTTTCCAATCATTTCATTAAATTTTTTTTGGAAATTTGTCGGCCGCTAAGAGAACATCTTTCACATCGAAATTTCCTGAACCAATAAGACAGAACCATAGGTTTCTTTCAAAAACTCATTTTGACTATAAACAACGCACGTTCTGTCATAGTCCTATGCAGCATTTTTACCTTTATCGCAAGTGTTCGCAAATATCGCAAAAAAAAACAAAATATTTGCAAAAAAGTTGGTCATTTTCATGACGTTCAATCTCAAGTCTTCCAGCGATTTGTACCATATGTACGACTACTAAATCTCAGCTCTCAAGTAACACCAACGCCGGCCCGGCACAAATGAAGGCTATGTAGCTAAAAAAACCGTCAGTATTTTTTTAAGTATTTTAATTTGTTGAATTAACCCAATATTTTTCTACAGATATATATTTTTGCGACTTTCGCAGTCAGTTTTACTAGCCGTGGTTGAGGTATGAGATATCCAAAAGCAAAAACCGTTTAGTCGTTAGAGTTCTACGTGATAAGTACGATCTCTTCTTACTTTTCCCTATAACGCGAAATGTAATGTTTTTTTTTTTCACAAAAGGCAGTTAAGAATTTGTTAAAAATATTCAAATCTTTCGGGCGGTCTAATATCCGCATAGAATTCTAAAAGTTTAAGTCGGTTTCAGTTTGAAACAGCAAAACACGCGCTAAATAAGCGGTACAACAGGTCAATGGTCACGCAAAAATGGCTTTATTTAAAAAATGCAACATAGGGTACTATACTCCTGTTAATAGACCACATGATGTGTAGGACACCGTAGTGGGATATCTCAATCAAGGTAACTGAAGAATTGTAGCCAGGTAATAAATTGAGCGGAAGCAATGTAATCGAAGTGCTAAACTGGGTAATGAAATAGCTCGAGCTATAAATACTCGAAAATAGCGGAGTGGCTTGGGAAACGCAGGCAGTTTCTACCAGCTGACTATGAAGTAAATCCAATTAAAACAGCGCTGTTGAAGAATGAAGCTCTCTTTAATTGTGTCACGCGGAAATGGAGCGGCAAAACGATGAGCAATTGTAAAAAAAAGGTTCGGGTTCACATGTCGCGTTCTGGTCAAGAGCGCTTTCGATGAGATTCAAAGAGGTAACGGAGTGCTGTACAGTAACAAAGTCCAGTGTGTATGCGTGGTGTATATAGTGTGCGAGAATTAAATAATAAATGTATAAGCTCGGCGTTCATAAGTAAATGTAAGAAGATCTTGTACATACGTAGTGTTGTTAATTACTATGGGTCCTAGTATTAGTATACTTTTTGTGAATACAATCTAACTAACCGCAAGCTAGCCGATTAAACATTAATTGCGTTAAGTGACCCAAGCAGTGTACCTTTTATAAAAATAGACGTTATCATAACGATGATTTTATTCAAAATCGGTACCTCCAGAGGAGTTCTAAGGATGCTACAAGTCAAAACTCAGAAGAAAAAGAATGAAATCTTCCCTAATAGTTTGAAAGCCGACAGAGGCAAAGCAAACACAAGAAACCACACCTGTGGACAAAAAAAACCGTACTAATGTTATTTTTCAATCTCTGTTGAGAGGGGAGGTGTCTGCGACTAAGATAACCTACATTTTTTAAGGTTTTATAACTGCACCGGTCTTCTTTGGATAGATTTCCAAGCCGTAAAATTGATCTAAGGCAAGTTTAGTGAAGGCTCACCAGTGTAATGTAATTAAGGGTAGATCTGTGCGGTGGGTTACTCCGGCAAGCACCGTGCAGAAGAAACTATGAAGGCAGAGTTCGTCTAAATGAGCGTTGCGCCCATCTAGCACTTAGTTACTTTATTTCTTTGAACTGCCAAGTAGAGGGTGAAGTCTGACGTTTTTATTGCAACAATCAGAACGGAATATGTCTAGCCAGTCGCCACCGTTATTAAACTGTATCGGCTTTTTCTATCCAAATTAATTCTACATAAAATAAAAAAAGCGGAAGGTTGAGCTTATTGCGTTTAAGTCGACGGGCTATTTTCGGTTTTTTGACCATCCCTTCTAGTGGACTATCTAATCGATGCGTTTCCCAAAACTAAATAAACCAAACTAGGCAAAGTGCTTGTACTCTTGCCGAAGGTAGAGCTAGATTTTAAGAACGGGTCTAGTGTAGGAGCATTTGGACAGCAGGCGAGCAAACAGTGGAATTGTAGACAAAGAAACGGTGGCGTGATGGATTATTTTCTAAAAAACACATTGTTTAAAGATCTAAAACGGAGATGATGAACCATAAAGAATGCAAAACAGTTTGGCGTCGTCTTAACTTGAATACTGAAGGCGAAGGTTGGGGTATTCGAGGAAGAACCAGGCGCCCTCAATCAGCAGACAGTCATGTAGTGGGGTGCACGGAGTAGTCAAACCAGAGCCCGGCAACAACAAGAATCGTTGTGTCTGCACATCGTAGTAACGAATTTGACGTATAGCAACGATCAATATGCGGACCAACAGGTGTCCTATTGACCGTGACGAATTTAAAGAATGTTGAATCTCTATAGAATTGCTATTGCAGCCAGCTGGCTCCAGCGGAGATTAGAGTACAACTGACCGACACTACGGGTTTGGCCGAACCAAAGGCAAAGTCAGTTCAGCTGCTCTGTAACAAACTGTAGGGGTTGCGGCACCATGTTGCCTATGGTAATATCACCCGCTGAAAGATGTCCGAGAAAGCAAACTGTAAGCATTCGAAATCTACGGCGAAAGGCAGCTAAGCCTGTTCCGATAAAAACTTCCAATTCTGATTTTGTATTCTATATCTTCAGCTTAACTCTATATATATATATATAATAAAATTACCGAGGACTGCGTAAAGTTTATCACTACTATGTGCACCATTTCGGTGGTGCCATCAGTTGACGTAAGCACTCGGATAATTCACTTCAACTGAGAAGTTGAATATACGTAAGCAAAAACATACATTACATCGTTAATCCAATTTAGGCACGTGTCTCAAGCACTAAAAGTTAGCCTAATACAAGGGAAATGGCCAAACGAATAAAACTTATAAAGTAATTACTACAAACCTGGGTAAATTCTAACCTTCAAAGCAAGTTTAAGTACGTAGACTTGATGTTGGGAAAACGAACTTTGCAGTTGAAGTAGACGCGCGAAAATCGGTGGTACTATTTTTTGGGCATATATATATATATATATATATTATTTATTTTTTTTATTTAAAATGAGTTTTCAAATAGACGAAAATTAAAGGTTCCTTATTTGTTAAGATGTAAAATGGCAGTAACATGCAATATCCCTCTAAAATTAAAGCGAGTTTGAAAACAACAATACAAAATAGACACTTGGTAGTCTCCATCTAAGTTATCAGACAAGTACCAAGTAAATGTGTATGACGCCGAAAATGAATTTCTTTAATTTGTGTGAACTATTTCTACTCATTGCGAAGTGTGATTTCGTTTTACAATAGTTTGTCTAAGCAAAAAAATGCTGCATAGATAACAATTACAGAGCTAACAAGCCGGCGAAAAGTTCGATTGTTCGAATTCAATAGAAATATTTATGGCGCAGAGCAAGTAGCTCAACAAACGGACGCTATCAGCTTTACGGAAGACACGATGCTAAAATCGTAAGATCGTAAAATATTACTGGATCACAAGACTCTGCCTTAAAGAATTATATTCTTTTATCTCAGGAGTTCCTCTTTATAGGATAGCAACAAACTTATAATGACTGTGCTTGACATTGCCTAAATCGAACCGATAATTTTGATAAATATAAATTTTCCTACAAGCTGATACAACCGCGTGACGGGCAGGAAAACTGTAATATTCACGTTACGGAAAACATATTTTCGCGCATTTTTCGACAGTGACTTGAGAACAACTTGCTAAATGACCGAAGGCCAAACTAGCTCCTAGTATTTCATTTGATTAATTTATTAGCATCACCCATAAAACCGAAGTGTGATTTGTCTGTAAGAGAAGTCGAGCCAGGCTTCACCTAGTAGAGTTATTGTAACACAATTCTTCCAGATTTCAGAAAGTGCATTTCTAGTACTAAAAAAGATTCAACTAATAAGCAGGTAAAATAAACAATTAACCCGTTTGACCTGTTGAAAGATATATCATATCTCTGTATCAAAGGCTACGAGAATCTAGAAGTCAGCGCGCCGTCTGTGCCGGGCAATTCAGCCGCCAACTTGATTATGGGGCATTCATGGTTAAATCATGATGCGAACGACGTGCTGAAAGGCCGTTCTCTCCATTAACTGTGCAAAAAATAGACGCAGATTGTGCGCCACCTACTGTGTCCATTAAAATTGTTTTATTTTGCAAACCTTTTATGCCTTTCAAATTGCATATAGTTATAGACGGAGGATTACCAACGAGTCACTGTTATCATGTCTAGTTCGTACTAAAAATCAGCCCTGAGAAATGCCTATGTGCAATTATCCCATGCTAATTTATTGTGTCCATATAACAGTAATAACGGAATTGCACTAAAACCTAAAATAAAATATGGGCACCTCTCTTGTCCGCGAAAAAAAATAATAAGAATTAAGTACTGCAACAATGATAAAAATTCGTTACTTTCGTTGCTGTAGCTCTTTTTTGACTTAATTTTAGCACAGTACAACGCCAAAAAACATATGTAGGTGACTCTCATCAATTTTAGTCAATTCTCTTGTGTTGTTGCTTTGCTCAATTATGTTCTACGGCATATGTTCTACGCTTTATATAATGAATTTAATTATTGGTCTTCATTTTCGTGAATTTTGCTTCAAGCAAAAAACAGTTAGCAGACGCCTTTGCCTTCCAACAGTATCGCAGCAAGTGAAATAAACAGACAGTAGTGAAAAACAAACCGTGTACATAATAATAGACAGTGTCTCAGAAAGTGGATTGTTTATTTACTCTTATATGTAAGCCTTATCCGGCACTTTTGCTGACGTAAAAATCTTATGTTGATTTTCTTGTCGCATTAGTCTAGCCAGTTTGCCCTTCAAAACTCCGTACCTAGCTCCTTCATGTGCTGTTCGACCTTCGCAGTTTTGCCACATACTGTTATCTATTGGGTTGACCATAACCATATCGTTTTTTCTGGCCTTTATTTCCTGACAATTAGAGAACTTCAAGGACTCCTGAGCTTTTTGATCATCGCTTGTTGAATCTAATGAATCCTTCAAAATAGGTTTAATAAAATCATCAGCCCGAAGAGTGGTGCTTTTTATAAAATGTTTATACATGCTACATTTGATCCCCAAAAAATCCGGCGCTACAGAGCTTTTTGTTATCGATTTTTTTTTGACGCCCGGCTTTTTCGAAGTTAAAGTTCTCTGAGGGCCATTTGAAGGTCGACAATTTTTAACAGCTTCACATGTTGGAGATCGTTTTCGTTCAGCATGTTTTTGTTTTTTACTTTTCTTAATGACTGGATTTTGCTGTGTGTTGTCCTGTACTGTTTTTTGTTTCCCCAAATTGTTTGCATCTACTAACTCTTTGAGTTTTACATTTGTACTGAGTTCCCTTGTGTCGATGACTTCTGTACTCGCGTTAGGTAAATTCTGTTGTTTGCTTTTCTTTTGTTTCTTTACAGTAATATCTTTCACTGGCATCTCTGACGAAGATTCCCCATCCGAACTCTCATTAGATTCCGTTATGGAAATGTTTTGAGCTGTTTGGTTGTACATTTTGGCCCACCAGGGCTCCACGAGGCAAACTCCTGAATTAAGCCCAAGGCCATTGCGATCGAATTGTACCTGCAAAATGGGGTCGAATCATCAGTGTATCCATATGTAAGGTTTAGGAAAATGCTAAGTATCATATGACATGATCTTGTAGCAATTCAATTAAGTTTTGAGGAAGCTGCTTATCTCACGATCAGACATTTTAATGCTATTTACAGTCCCCATTTGTAGACTGAATAAACAAATTCAATATATAGATTAATATTCATACGCAAAAAATTGTCCTCAAAAACTTGTTCTTTTCCTCGAAAGAACAACAATCACTGCAGTATTTCCCAATCGGATGGGGGTCATCCTTTAGGCCTCACTTGGTGTTTCGAATACGTGTAACCACAAATTTTTAAATAAAGTATATTTGAGGAAATTTAATTTGTACATTAATTTGATCCTTTTAAATGCTGGTAGAACAGACAAACACTTCTTCAAATATATATTAAAACCAAAACGCATTAGTTTCGAATTTAATTGAGTTTATAAGCAGAAATGAAACAGAGGTGAGCATTTTAGGAAACCCACTTGGCGATCATTTCCAACAGCTCAAGGAATATAATGAGCATTCAAGATGCAAATTCTTCGGTGTGTCAGTCTTAAAAAACAAGATTACTTTGCTTATTGACTGAGATGAATGAAAATAAGCTTACTTTGAAGTGCTTCGCGCTAGTGCACCTATCATAGGCTTATAAGCACATTAATTAATACATAAACAACCTTAGACGTAAAATACATCCAAACCTTCGGCTTAATTACTGTAAGGATGCCTTGGTTTCGACGGCCTAAGCCTTGGCCCTGTTTCCAACCCATATTTTCGAGGAGTGCCTGCGGATTCATCTTTGCGTGGATTTACCGACGACCTGCAATCAAGTAATATACGTATAGAAATAAAAGATATTATTTTGTAGGCAGCTCTTTAAACATTATGATGAGAGTATAAGCTGTTAAAAAATGACTAATGCAGATAGTCACGAGTTTAAACGTCATTGTAATTATTTGCGCATCTCTCATTTGAACCAAAAAATGCTGTCTATTTAATTTTTATGATTGCCCGACTTCTCCTTTCTTTGACATAACAGAACTTTTTACGCAAGAAAATACTTATAGCCCATAACACAAGAACTGTTATGTCTGCACATTTTCAGATGAAAATAAGATCTCTGTTTCACAATAGATTAAATTAAAATTGAACATGCCTACAAACTGGACTAATTAAACAAAGAACGCGTATGTATGACAGCCTCATATCGTAATCGGGTAAATGTATTCATATGTTTACGTATAATGTTATTATAATTATTATTTACTGTCCTGAGTAGCTCCTGAGTGTCCAACTGTACTAATATAATAGTATGTAGGAGTCATAATCTTCTAAATTTTATAGAGTTAATATCAAACAGCTATAGCTGTGCACTATTCATACTTGCCTATATTCATACCTAAGTACGCTTGACAAGTCTACTAAATATTTAAAAACAATTGATAAACCTTTACTTTTGAGCCACTACTTTAGTTGAAAATGAGTGGTGTTGTCCATTTAATAATGCAGTGGGCATTTTCTAACGAACTCCTCATTATACCAATGACAGCTAACACACCATAGAGCTCACATGTACTGACTTGTGCATAAAAATTCACAACACAGATAACGCACACAACGCAGTTTTCAGCTGTTGTTCAAGCAGCAGCACCGCAGTGACTGCTTTCAACCGTGTTCGCACGGGTAGTAACGCGCGAGTGTATTCGGCCGCTAATAGCATGCGTCTATCTCTTATTTGATGGCCTCAGTCCAACAACCAACATCATTGATCCCAGCCAGGCCCGCTTCCTTCTTTATGTATCCTTAAACGCACACATGCGTTCGCTGGCGGCTGGCGGAGTGTCTCTTCTCATAAGCGGCACAAATCAACTGCTTGCCGCATCGGAGAGCTTCAACAGTTGATTGTTTCGAAAGTTGTAAAGTGGGTAGTTTATTTTATGTTTAGTTCGACTAATTCACACACCGAACTACCGCGAATAGCCAGCCTACTGATTGCCGATCCTCGCTAACTTACGCGAGCGTACAGGACAGACAGTCCGCCGGAACAAGCGCCTTGGCTGGCGTGCTGAGTCGTGAGTGAGTACCAGAGAAACCGGTTTGCTTCGTTACTGTCGCTTTTCGTTAGACAAGAGTGCTTTGATTATTTTTTCATTGTTCAAAGAAGAAACGGAGGCAAAATGTCAGAATCGCTGAACGTTTGCAGTGGAGTTTTATCGGAGAACGCAGATGATTCTCAGGATTCCTCGTCGCGGAGGAAAACCCGTACAGCAAACAAGAAAAGACGGCTTGTGAGTATTTTGTTCGACAAACATAGATATATAACAAAGTTAAGCACCAACCTTGTTGATATACTTATCCAATGATTATGGTATATTTTTTAGAAAAAACAGTTGCTGTAGAAGAACCATTATGCCGCCCTCGAAAATAAACGCTCGTTAGATTGATCGCCAGAATGCCTGTCTATCGTATCCAAAACAGGACCCCGCTAAGTTTTCAGCCGGCCAACCTCCAGCGGACTAACACTGTGGGGAAGAGGGAGCGCGACGAAAAAGTTGGAAATTTCTGAGGTCTATTGATTTAAAAATTGCATTCCTCTTTTGCAAGATGACCTGTAATTTTGGTTTTAACAACATGGTTTTGTGTATTCATTCGTGGGATCCACTTGCTAAGCTAACTAGCGACTGACCGACAGAAAACAAATGGTGAAGATAATCAACAGGTTTCACTGCAAGTAAAAATGACATTTTAACATTAGCCTTTGTTTCTAGCTACACAAGAACTAGTGCATAATTATTCATTTGAATTAGTTTGATTAATCTCAGTTACGATCAGGACTTGCGTCAAGTGATAGTTTTCATCGAATATATGTCATTTAGAAGTTTTGAATTTTGTTTTTAATGTTTTGTTAATGAGTCCTTTTTAAACACATTCTGAAATTACCGTTGGCTGCTTTTCATATTTAATATTGGCCTGGACTTTCGTTACTAGTTTTTAAAAATTCCACTCAATAGAATCATACTTCAGAGAATAGTCATGGAGAAAACGCTGTACTTAAAGACCGTTGTGTAAGAGCAGGTAAACTATTCCTATAAATAAATTAGTTGAATTTATCTGCCTATTATCGCCTATCTGATAACTTATCTCACAACTCTGTAAATATAATAAAACACGATATGTTATTACGGCATATCCTATAGTATCAAGAATTTAGAATACATCTATAATGACATTAGTACGCAGGCATTCTATTACGACAGAGCCAAACGTCCGCTTTGTTGTCTACAAAATTCGAAATAGCTATTATAGAGTACTCATATATTAGAGCGGTGTTAAATGGTAGAATTATTTAGTCACCACATACATTTAAAGTAAATATACCAGTTCGAACGATCTTTCAACTCGAACAATTTTTTTTTTATTTAGAGATAGAAAATTGAAGTAGGTACAAAAACCTACGGCAATCCCGCTCGAATAAATTGAATCAGAATATAAAATATATGCGTATGTGTAGAAATAAGTCAAGATATACAATTTTCATAGTGATCATTTGTCATATATAATCTCTAAACTTTGTCGATGCATGTATTTGTGCCCCTGTGTAAAGTCAACCATTGAGAGTATGTAAAGCCTAATGAGGCGGTAATTACTCAAGCATCATAAAGGGCGACTGAAAGATCTCCATAGAAATATCCTGTTTGAAATTACGCCCCGATGGGTGTATGATATTATAATGAGACATTAGTATGTGATTGATTGTTTAAAATAATTTTTATACAGCTTTTAAATCGAAACACCATGATTGATCTCTCTTATATAAATATTTCTCAACACAAAACCGTCATTTTTGTTGAAACGTTAACGCCATTAAAGAGTAACACGGAGTAGTCTTGTCGTAGCCGGTTTCCTTCTTTCTGCTTCATATATAATAAATTAAGTTTAAACGCTGCCGCCATACTAAAGTACAAATGCTTTTGGACCCTTTTTTTCCGATTAGGGAGATGGCGATTCACCTGATGAACGCAAAGGAGGTGGCGGAGGCGGAGGAGGGGGCGGTGACATGGAAGAAATTGACAGCGACCAAGAAGAACCTACCGGACTGGAAGGGGCAGCTTTTCAAAGTAGACTTCCTTACGACAAAATGACAGCACAAGAAGCGGCTGGGTTTACGGATGTTGCTAATAGCGGGCCTGAGACTCAAAAAATCTTCCTGCACATTCGCAACAGACTTCTACAGGTCTGGCTAGAGAACCCCAGACAAGAACTGACCTGTAAGCGTAAATCGGTGAAAACTATTGTAGAAATCTTTGAACATAATTTTCATCAGGATCAACTGAATTCGTCTATATTGTACGTCTGATAGTACCAGTTTTGGTCTGTAGATCGATTGTTGAAGGCAAGGTGCTGGTGGTACATTTTATCATTTCGCCGACACCGTTCTAATTACATAAACTATAAGGCACATAGTTCTGTATAGAGCTATTTGATGTTGCCTTTTATCTAAAATTTAAAGCCAAAGGCGAATACTCTACTGACGATGACATATATTTTTAGAATCTCGAAATTAATCCCAGCTTAGGCAGGTATTTGTGAAATACACCATTACCTTGTTCTTGCAAATCATATGTTGTTATTCTTTATAGACGAAAACGCTTTGCCCCGGATCGAATCACCGTACAATTCTGATCAAGCGTTGGTCGCACGGATACATTCTTACTTAGAGCGACAGGGTCTTATCAACTTCGGTGTCTTTGAAAGACTCAAGCCGTTAGCAGATAAGAAAAATGGGAAAGTTATTGTGATTGGGGCAGGAATTTCTGGCCTTATTGCTGCTCAACAACTACAACAATTCGGTATGGAGGTGAGTAACATGCGAGATAATATATAATGTATATGCATTTTGCTAAGCAAGTTTTGATATAATAGCAGTGCTTATTAACGAGTTTAAGGAACTGTTAATAAAAGGACAGCTGTGCTAATCAGCTCTAAAGAAAGAAAGGGTCATTAAGTTGTTTTCAAAGACTTCTATTTAATTTGTATGTTGTCATGCTCCACGCCGGCGCATTCTCGCTACAATGTTAAGTCACAACTTAATTAGTTGGTTAAAGATAGCTTGATGAAGCATAACTTTTTATATGCAGGTGCTCGTACTAGAGGCGCGTGATCGAGTCGGCGGTCGGATTGCGACGTTCCGTAAAAACAACTATATTGCTGATTTAGGCGCTATGGTAGTGACGGGACTGGGTGGCAATCCCCTCACCATTCTCTCCAAGCAAATCAACATGGAACTGCACAAGATTAAACAAAAATGCCCGCTTTTTGAAAGTAAAGGCTCAACCGTAGAGAAAGAAAAGGACGAAATGGTCGAGCGTGAATTCAATCGTCTTCTTGAAGCAACAAGTTACCTCTCACACAACGTCGGTTTTAATGACGTAGATGGTACGTACACATAATGGAAATTTATGACTACTATTAAGATTTAACAAACACATTAAGACTTAACTTTAAAACTCTATATTATTCCAGTCGATACGGGAAACCACTGAAATCGAAATTCCTTATTTCGAAGTACTAAATGAAAAAAATTTATAGTAACAGATCTGATAACTGATAATGCAGGTGTTGAGATTTAGCTCAATTCTGGTCCGCCACCATTACCTACGAAAGTAATGTGTATCAATTATTATCAATATTATTTCTTTTTTGAAGTTTTCATGCGGATATCATTATTACTGATACGATAAACATTTGTAAAGGCTCATTGCTAAGTTACGAGAAAAAGTATTGTAAATGAAATGAAACAAGTCGAATTAGAAGTTTTCCTTTAAGTCTTTCATCGATACTGTGTTTTTGCGCAGGTAAGCCGGTTTCCTTAGGACATACGTTAGAATGGGTAATTAAACTTCAGGAAAAGCACATTAAGGACAAGCAGATCGAGCATCATAAGGCAATAATTACGCTCCAGGAAAAACTTAAAAAGAATCAGCATGAGATGATTGAACTACGCAAAAAAATCGATCAGTCCAATAAGCAGCTTAGAGAAAAAGAATCTGCGAAAGAGCTCGAGGAGTTTGAATTACGGTCAAAAGCTTATGACCTTAATACATATTGTCAGGTGAGCTCGTACATGAGATTGAGCTGTTACTTGAAACATTCGAAAATGTGGTTCTGGGTTAATTCTCATACTCAATATACCCAAACAAAATGACAACGCTTAAACTACTCTTAGAAAGGTAGTGGATAACATCTTATAGCGTTATTATATAGTCCTTATTGTAACAATGCATATTTCTTTTTCTAGGAATGGGATGAGCTAGCAGAGCAGCAAAAAGAGCTTGAAGATAAACTGCTTGAATTAGAAGGCTCGCCCCCTTCAGACGTCTATCTGTCATCCAGTGACCGGCGAGTTCTGGATTGGCATTTTGCTAACCTCGAATTTGCTAACGCTACGCCATTGAACAATCTTTCACTCAGGCACTGGGACCAAGACGATGATTTTGGCTTCTCCGGATCACACCTCACCGTACGAAATGGGTTGGTGGAAGTTAAACTTTTTTTTTATTTGTAATATTTTCGAAATGAAAATATTACAGTGCACGATTCTAGAGAATCGTACACTGTAATATTTTCATTTCGAAAGACGATAATAAAAGACCTACTTTTGACTTGGTCTCAATGACGGCTGGCTGGATACCACTCCACCAAACTATTAGAATCGCAAATGTAACTACTGATCAGCTAAATATTTTAAATCACAACTTTTTGCCGAGCTCAAGTGACTTTATATGCCCTGCAAGTCTGAGAAACGTTCTAAACTCATTACAAGTGTACATATGTGGTTTTTAATTAACAGGTATTCTTGCGTACCAATGGCTTTGGCAGAAGGTTTGGATATTAAACGATCTCATACGGTGAGGCAAATTGAGATCTCTCCAACTGGTGTTGTCGTTACGACTGCCACCCCGAAAGGCAATACAAATCTGCAAACGTTCAAAGCAGATGCCGTCCTTTGCACCCTGCCCCTTGGTGTTCTTAAAGAGAGCATTCAACCAACGGTTGGTACAGCATGCTTACAATTCTTTAAAAGTCATGTTTTTCCAAATTCGAACATTAAGATTATTATTATGGTTAAATTTGACCCCGTAATAGCCGAGTGGATAACGTATTTGCTTACTAAATTTGAGGACTCGTGGTAGCATAGGTTCGTATCCGAGCTTTGATATATTTGGTATGATGTTAGAAGAAACCAGCCGCCTGAAATAATTCCTAAGAGGGTTAAGTGCAAAATAAAACATTTGTTTCTAGTTATAGTTAGCTCTCTCCTTCTCTTTTCGTGAGTTGCACTTTTGTAACTAAGAAAATTAACTAATGATATAAAATATTTAGTATCGAAACCAAGTAACTGTTTTCGTTCAAGGTGAATGCCAACATACAGTAACATGCAAATGCAATATTTACATACCTATGAACATCAAAACGTTTGTTCGCATATTCAGCACTTTCCCGCATGTAATTCGTTCTGCAAAATTATAAAAATTGACCTATTTTATATATATTTTGTAGAACTCGAAAACGAGTCAACTTTTGAAGTTAGATGCTTCACAAATGTTTAACCGTTGTTAAGATAACTGCTCAAAAACGTCATTCTGCTAAAAGCATACATCAGAATGTATGGAAAAGTTGTTTATAATTTGGATATAATAGCTATTTTTTTTTCAACTTATTTAACCTAGCGTTCTCTCGTCAAATGGGGCTCACTCAGAATGAAAAGAAGATTGTCAGAGCTTCTTTGAAATAGACTGGGCACATTCAAAAACTTATTCGCTTGAGTGCATACGATCAAGTGAATAAATCTATGCTGTGCAACCGAGAATAAGGTCAATCACAAGATAAATTAATTCTCTGATTACCAGGTGAACTCACAGAATGCGGTACATTTTGTACCTCCATTGCCTGAGTGGAAAGTATCTGCAATTCAGCGCCTAGGTTTTGGCAATTTGAACAAGGTTGTTCTTTGCTTCGATCGTTTCTTCTGGGATCCATCAGCGAATTTGTTTGGTCACGTTGGCTCGACAACGGGAAGTAGAGGCGAACTTTTCTTATTTTGGAGTCTTTATAAAGCACCAGTGCTTCTAGCTTTGGTTGCTGGTGAGGCCGCAACAATTATGGAAAATGTTAGCGATGACGTAATCATTGGCCGATGCATTGCTGTACTTAAAGGTGAGTTTCAGATAGAGAGACGTCTGTAAAATCTGAACGACAAAGTAAGACACTTTTGTCTGTATTCTTAGTACGCACATACATATTACCTACACGATAACAATAACGTAATGGTTGCGCGTGCATGTTTATATGAAACGATTAGTTACGTAAGTGTTTTTTATATTTAACTATAGAATCGATTATAATATATGTAGTGTTTACAGAATATGGTGCGCCCACGATTTTCGTTTAATTAGCACAAGAGTATTATAATTGACGCTCAGTCAACCATCTTTACCGACTTCTATTCTCTTCCACCAACAAATAGAATTTCTATTTTTATACCTCCTTGAGTGCTGACTTGTTTTACTGAGCAAGTATTGTTTCTTTTGTGTAATGATAATCACGTTTATTTTAAAAACAGGGATATTCGGTAACTCATTGGTTCCGCAACCCAAAGAAACCGTCGTGACTCGATGGAATGCAGATCCATGTTCAAGAGGATCCTATTCGTACGTTGCAACGGGAGCATCCGGAAATGATTACGACCTGCTTGCAGCCCCTGTAACACCTCAGGTATGCATGAAATTGACTTCGAACATTCGATTAACTAGTAACGTAGTAACAAGGCTTTATTTTAAACACTACCATGCATTACAAGCATATACAATAACGAAATTGCATGTCATCAAGGAGAAATTATTACGCACATCTTCCACTCGACACAGAACATGCCATACCGAATTATGATAAACTGAATAAATTAGTAGGTATACATTAATTATTATATTTATTTTTCGTGTGCGTTGCAGGTGAGCCCGAATCAGCCGCAGGCGCCGGCCCGCTTATTTTTCGCCGGCGAACACACAATCCGTAATTACCCGGCTACGGTGCACGGAGCATTATTGTCTGGCCTAAGAGAAGCAGGGCGAGTAGCTGACCAGTTTCTTGGATGTCCGTACGCGCCGAGCTCTTGAACATTATATGCGCTAAAGCAACAGCAGAAATAGTTGCCAGACTTAATTTGAAAACTTGCCTTTTTGTGGTGAAGATGATAAGGTCTGAGACCTGATACGAATGATATAAGATTGTGGCAAAAGTTGGTCCGAAGAGACAACAAGACTATACAAATTGTAAAGGTAGGGAAAGCAACCCTAAAGGAAAAGTTTACAAAATATTTTAGCTAAAGAAGTGTCCCTGTGTTATTCTATCTATTGCAACATCTTTCGTAAATAACAACCTGGTCAAAGTAAATGGCCTAAACAAAACGAGTATTATTAGGAGATATTTAAATTAGAATTAGTTATTTATCCCGATTCTGCACAGTACATATGTTCAGAATTAAGATATAGTGATCGAAAGATTGAGAGATAAATGAAAATATTAAACATTTGTTTGTCAAAGAAGAGGACAGAGGTCGGTTCACGTATGCTGAAAAGGTAAGAGAGCAGGTTGTATCTGCCATTGTTACGAAGGTATTTCTGTTTTTGTAGGGACAAAAACGACTTGCTTGTATTTGAGCGAATAAATGTAGTACGTACTATTGTTATTATTACAATATATGCAAGGATGCAGCGGAGCCAAAATTAAGTAGCGGCTTATGCTTATTGCTCCGCTTTCGTTACCCTGTGGCGCAAAATTTTAAAATGTGTATATTGAAACGAATAATACTAGGAAAGAACTTGAAATATTTGTGTGCCTATATATATGCTGCATGGATTAGTAATGAAAGAAATATTTAAATAATTGTTTACCGGGAAAGATTCATAACCGAAGATTTGGGATTTTCATCAGTTGAGTTAAAATGAAGACATACGAATATATCTCGGCCTGAATGTACCCGTTGCTTAAATGGAACACCATGGTCAACATGATACAATGCAAATGGACATTCGTTTATAGAGTAGCGAGATTGATTTCGTGAAGGTAGGGAAACAAAAAATATAGATAAATATTCAACTTCTTTTGATACTCCCCAACAAACAAGAAGCGGGTTCTGAAGTGCACTTTCCAGCACAGAAACCGCTTAAATGTAAATTGTTTTTTAGGCTGTTTAACAACTCGTACGCTATTGAAAGCGGATGGTTAAAACATGTTTTGATTTACTTCCTGCACCGCACTGTAATTATACATTGCAAGTTAATAAACTAAATCGTCTTCCTATGTCTTTGACTAGAACTTGTTTTTTTTTTTTGTAACTATATTGAATTGTCAAAAAAATATTGACGGTCTCATTGGCCAGATAACTAGTATATCTCAGGTCATCTGAATCGCATCGGACCGACATCGCGTTGAAGTAATTTGAAAACAGAGATTCGACAATAGTAAATGTGCTAAAACTGCTGTAATGTTTTTATTAGGAATACAAAGGAGCTTAAAATAGGGCGCCTTAAAGATGAGCAAAACGTCTACAAAAAGTCGCTACACTTGGCGTTTTTTTAACGATTAAAACACAAATGTAGCCTAGGCTTAATGAAATAGTGTAGTGCTGATTGTAATCAAAGCGAGCTATCAGGAGAAATAACCCAAAGATGGTTCTGTCGATTCTGTTGCGGAAATGTCGTTGTGTAATATGGCCGGCCAATTAATAAAAAAGTCGATGAATTTATTTGTCGAGTTAAGCAAGACACATGAGTAGCCGTGATATTGCTAAAACGATTGATCACGAGTGATGAAGAGTAGGTCACACACAACAATAATGCGTAAAAATAATCGTGCATTATGAGCAGCCACAACCTTGCAAAACGATGAATTGGAACCTCAACAATTAATTACGAGGAGAACTAATTACGGATTACAACAACCCACTGAAAAAAATTGACCGAAACTAGTAAACGAAAAGGTGTCATCTTTTACTACGACAGAGCTATATCGGATACATCTTTAGTCACACTGCTAAAAATTTGGAGAACAGATTTTACATTATCATTTTATCATCTGTTTCAGTCTCTTTAAAACTCTTTAATGGTGTTAATTCAACTTCGATGAAGGGACCTAAAAGCTACTTGTCGCAATTGTTCGATTAGGAATCAAAAAGCTCAAAACATAAACAAAATAGAGTGTTAACAGAAAGATGACAAAATATTGGCGATCAGTGGCGCACATTTAACTTATTAATACTGTCTGAAAATATTTGCTATAATTTTTTGTATAAAGCAATGGGTTCTTCATTTTGCTTTTTCAGTACCTACGGCAGAGTAAGCCTGTATCAAAATAGCTATTTGCCAACGCAATAAATTCGACGTTACTAGTTATTATATGTAATTATAGGTTATAAAACGTACCATATTTAAGCGCCCACGATAATGCGCCTTTAGCGATACCATTTTTTCTACCATCTGGTTGGCAGTACTCTGATATCTTGAATTCTCTTGGCTTTAAATCATAGGTTGAAACTCAGTTTGCAACTACTAAACATCAAATTAATTAGTGACTTATAACCATTGACGAAAGCGTCCCTTAGTAATCTATTATTAACTTTCTTGCTACTGTTTTGAATGATGCCTCACACTATCATCTTTTCACCTTTAAGAAGTTTGTAGGAACACTTCGTATATTTTAACCTACCGTAAAAGTGGAACCAAGCTAAGAAAAATATCTTCTATTGGAAACTAGAGCCAACTTCTGCGAATTTTTGTTCCATCTTGTGCATAATACGAAGCGACCAAACAAAAGAAAGTCGTATATAAATATTGCGGTGTTGAGGTGAAAAAGTCATTTGCGAAACGTGTCTGCTGTGTGACAATATAACATGTATCTGACGCGGGTTTTCTTATAGAAATATGGGTTATATGTATTCTACACCCGCTTGGTGTTGTCATTTCATTTACAGCATCGCATATGCACAAGTGCGCGCTGTCATTACTTTAAGAGGCAATTGACAAGTAAACCCGTTTCACCACCGTTAGCAAGTAAAAACTGTTTGATCTAGTTAATACTGTGAGAATAGAGATAACAGCTAATTGTTACATTAAAACTTGAAGAACTAAGAAGTATTAATTTTAATTAATTATTTATTATTAATTAATTATATATATTAATTAATAAAAAGAGTTTTAATTGCAAAGACAAAATTGGAAGTAACAAACTGGCACTAAATACGTGAGCCATGATTCATACTGACAGCGCAATACAAAAGGAGACTTGCAGAAACCTGATAATACATTTGTAAGAATTTGTAATAAAGAAAACCTGATAATACATTTGTTCTAAAAACAATGTTGTGTTTGTTATCCAGTGCAGTGCTCCTTATTGTCACAGCGCAATTTTCCCTACGCTGTTCTTCCATTACCTGGTTTTATCAATCTCGGAGAAGTATTTGAGTCGCTTCCTTCATTTTCTATGTTAGCCCATTACCGTGCTAAGCGATCGATTTCCCAGTTAAGGTATTTTCTCGTGTTTCAGCCAAGATAGTCTGTATCGGAATAATTGAAAAATATAAGTGAATTTGTTTCAATTTTTCGATTACCGATTGGCGTATTACACTGCCATGTTTTAGTCATGCTCTTACTCTTTAGCAAGCATGCTATGTCCTACTGTCAATAATCACGCATTTCCAGTAACTACCGTTGACTCGTTTTCTTTGTAGGAAGTTGGTCATCTCAAAGTGTTGTAGATGTTAACTTTCAAAAATCTAACCAAATGTTAGGCCATTTAAAAACCAAGCAATTTGGCAATGTGTAAACGTGGATTGACTCCAAAAGTCAACTGTTTACTGGAGATGAAATTACGTTTGACTCAAAAAAAAAAGTAGTTTTTTAAACAACAAGCTAAAAACGCTAAGCCGCTTTTACATTTTTCTTCTTTAGAGAAGAGAAATTGTTTCACAAATTCATTCATCATTTTTGTAATTGAAATGACTGTTTAAAAATACAATCTCCCTTTCGGTATATCTCAGAGTTTATGGGGAATTCTCATAGGTAAATCATTCTACCATCAAACTACAGTATTTTCTTCTCAAGTCAATCCTGCATGCAAAAAGAAATATTCGAACTGTTCTTAAAATGGTTTCCACGAATGTATACGCATTTATCCGAATTTGATGGAAAGAATACTGGATATCGAGAGCACCTCACTTAAGGTTTAATTCTCTTAAATTCGTTATTTCTAAATATTAATAAAGATATTTTAAAAGGAATAATATTTTTATCGAGGTCAGAAGGAAATACCCAAGTTCTACAGTACTGTGTTTCTCGCGCGCATTTTGCGTGAAAATCCTACTGATCATAAAATTAATACATATCGGTTTTTACATATATTTTCAATGTCTAGATTTATTTACAGGAAACTCTTTAGATCACAACTGCCATACTGTTTCCATGGCTTATACACACAGCCATGTCATGCAACCTTTCTGACTCTGTGCGTCCTGTGATGTTAATCGCCATGACCCTCCAGCTTAAAAACAAAATCCTACAATTGCTCTTCATGAACATACATAGTGACACTACATATTAAAGTATGAGTTATATATCCTTTCTAATTTATCCGACCTACTCTCAACACAGGCGTGCTGTTAATGCCGGAGTGCATGTTTATTCTATAAACGCATTTGCCTCCTTATCGGGGATGACCATTCGTCAACTAATTTGCATAATGCACGCGCTTTTTATTACATAAGTACTAACATACTTGTCTGACTTAATTAGCGGCGACATCTTCGTTTAGCTTTTTCGCTAGGCCCATTTAGATGAAGAACAAATATTATTTGAAACAATGTATATCCCACTATCACACTTTTAGGCGGAAGGTTAAATTGCCATTTTACGACCTTCGATAGATATAGTGACGGATCTTTGACCCTGCGACCGCCTTTTCCGCTCCTGGAACGCTCTGACATGCTTGTCAAGTCGAGACGTCTTCTTCTTTTCAGCATTTTTCATGCTGAACTCTGTATCTACGTTCCATTTTGGACGAACAACGTAATCCTTAATAGAAGGCATTGGTACACGAGCTCGAGCTACAAAACCGGGTTCTCCAGGTTTAGCACTGAAATGAAGAAGAAAATTTAAACAATCAGGATTACATTATCTTAGATAGAAAAAAAATGTCTTATGTTTAATAATATGTGTTTGATCTATTATCTACTACAATTAAAATGTGCATGTCACCAGTCATTAAGTAATTATTAATAGTTAACAAATGAGCAAAAACTATCGCGTGGTAACAACAATTGCAATACAATTGATAGATGCGGGTACAACCACATTGTATTGAAAATATCGCCATGGTCATTATCATTGATGTGCACCTCTGTCAGGTACATATACGATTGTCAGACTACAAAGTTTTCCCTCTTTATAGTAGCGCTACGTACGAAAGTAGATTTATCTATTTAGCTAGTCTATTTTAAAATTCTGAGAACTTGCCTATTAGCCTCATCGTTCCGAGCGTTTTTTTTGCCTTTTTTGCTGGAGCTGGCAGTCTGCTCTTTTTCGGTTTGTTCAGCTCGCCGTACAGATTGGAAACGTTCGTAATCCTTTGACTCACGCTCCTCTTTTGATATCGTTGTATAGTCCGTATTCAAATTAAATATGGGTCGAGACCATTTCGCGATAAGCTTTCCTGCTCTGATCTTGTTGTTTTTTGTTTCTTTCGGATGTTTATACAAATACATGACAGCACGTCCTGCAACATCAAACAGAAGTAAGGAAGGTTAATATTGGAAAGTACGCTTGTGTATATACTTAAGGTGCTGTAAAGGTGTTGCGTTATATTAGACTAGAAATACACGTACCAATACCGGAAGACTTGAGCATTCCTTGATCTAGCGCTTCTCCAGGGAACTCCTCAAGCAGTCTTAGCATTTCTTCTCGGATGCTAAGATGTGGTAGAGATTTGTCTGGTAGTGGTGATAACCAATCACAAATGACATTAAGTACGCCCTGATCTAAGAAAGCCATTTTTAGATCAATCTTTTTGAGATGAGGCAGAACAAAACTAAGATACATAAGTTTCTTTGTAGCAGCTTGTTTTTTCTTGTTCAGCTCACGATCTTCCTCAGCTTTCAGCTTCATTTCCTTTAGAAACTCGGCGATCATATCGTCGGTGTCATTAATAATATCGACATCCTTCCGTTTCTTACGTCCAGTTCGCTCGGCCTTCTTACGAGCTAACATGAGGTCGAAATCAGACATGTGGCTTGTTCCCCCGGAGGTCGGTCCTTCATCATCAGAAGAGACATCACCTTTCGCTTTTTTAGCTGGTTGCTCCTCTTGGGCCACATCCTCGTCATTTTCAGCTTTTCGTTTTATTCCTTCGCCTTCATCTCCGCTATCTCCGAATATTTCTGCCACAAGTTCGTTTTCCCCTTCGTTATCTGATGCGTCCGAAATACGTCCAGCTTTCTTTTTCTTTCCTTTCTTCTTTTTTTTAATGGTCATTTCATCATCACTGTCACTTCTACTTCCTGACCTCGATCTGTTGGAGACTGCACTTCCAGAACGAGATCTACTTCGACTTCTCGAACCACTTCCGCTACGAGACCTTCTCGATCCGCTGTGGCTTCTGGAACGTGAACCAGAACCACTACGCGACCTCCGCGATCCACTTCTGCTTTGGGATCCACTTCTTGAACGCGAACGGCTTCCACTTTGAGAACGTCTTAACCCGCTTCGCGAGCGGCTACGACTGCCAGATCGTCTCCCCCTACTATGAGAACGGCTCCCGGAGCCACTTCGGGACCTACGTGACCCGCTGCGTGATCTTCGTGAGCCACTCCTAGACCTGCTGCGAGACCCCGATCTATTTCTAGACCTCGATCGACTCCAAGATCCTGACACTTTTGATCCACTTCGGGAACGACGCGAACCTGATCGCGAACGAGATCGTGAACCGCTCTTTGCTGAACCACTGCGCGACCTTCCATGAGATCCAGTGCTGGAAAGTGATCTTCCTCGGGAAACGCTTTTTTGCGACGTGCGAGACGCAGCCGATCCAGAACGCGAGCCGCTCTTACGAGATGTGCGTGATGTAACCGAACGTGAATGCGAACGGGATCGTGAACCGCTTTTCCGAGAGGCGGCCGACCCTGAGCGGGGACTAGACTTGCGGGACCCACTTTTAGCGGACGCGTGAGACGCGGCCGAACCGGAACGGGATCTTGATCTGCTCCGCGATTTTGAGTGGGGAGATCTCGAGCGACTGAAACATAGAGTAGTAACTTTCCAATAAAACCGCTAATGCCGTCTTTATTAAAACTCATTTTTGTTTCTTGAATTTGACGAGAGGCTCACATTATTACACGCTAGGCAATAAAAAACTATGTCATGCACCTTATTGAGAATGTTTATTCTTTGCATGATGCTGTGAGATGGTGTACAATGAAATAATTTTTTTTAAACGAGGGCGCTTACATTATATTATACAAATTATTGTACGTAATTTCTGCACATGAATACAGTCTATAATGGTAAAATACTGTGGTCTATGAAATTAATGTATCATGGTATAAGAAAAAAACAGTTGTCACTTTTTGGAGGTATACCAAGTTTATGAGAAGTCGCGAATTTTACTTAATTTTGAATAAAAACCATCTCTTGCTTGCGACTTCTATCAATGAGATATTGACCGTTATTAGCGATGATCCTCGTCAATCTTTAAGCTAGCTGTCTCATTCAATTCGTTTAGAACTGAACATCTTTATTGGTTGTATCTTTGAACCGATCAATACGGTACCTTCTATATGTTTTTACACCTTCTGGCACAATTAAGTGAATTTTGTAAACAACAGAAATAGTAATCCCAATGAACAGGATCGAAACTATAAGGTGGATGAGGCAAGGTATCTTATTTAAACGCGGGGAATTTTTGGCGGCACTAAATATGTGCGAGACCTGGCCTTATTACCATGAAGCACGACTTTTATTTGCCCTACTCGGTGCATTTCTTAGATGTTTTGCCTTAAACGATGGACTTAACTTTACAGTACTCAACTGAGTTCTGGTTGTTTGCAAGAAAGTCATGGAAAAGCACCCTTCCGCAATCTATGCATTACAATCTATCAAATTCACAACATTATCTCTTTTAGATGATATCCGGCTTTAGTCCTCGTTCGAAGGATCCTACCACACAGGTCGCAGCTAGTTCGTTCCAGAAACAGAAGTTCAAAATAGATTTTAAATATTAAAAATTTCTGTATCTATAGACTTGTGCGATTGAATCAAACATGACGCCAAAAGAAGGCTGGGGGGTTAGCCCTATAATAAAGTAAGGATCCGCTTTTATTTTCTTACCCAACATTGTTTGTGGCACCAAAGTTGAAACCGCTTTAAAATCTAGGAAGAGACCCAAAAGGTACACCGTCACATATTTTATGTACTTCAGTGATGCCGACTGATTGACAAATACGCACAGCGTAACGCTGTGCGATATTGCAAACAGCTAATATAGCAACGAGTGTATTGTCTTCCGGTCTTAGCAGAACGTGGGCGTAAAAACGTGAAAGTGCTTGTTGATTAACATTTGTTATCTATTATTCGTTCCAAGTAGACCGATCACATTTAATACCGTGTTTTCACATGACACTGTTTTAAAGAGAAGTGTATTCTTTACCTGCTGTGTGATCCACTGGCTGGAGATTCACTCCTAGATCTACTGCGACTCTTTTTATCGTCGGTAGGAGTGACCGAGTGGCCTGGTGAGTCTAGCTGGGGTGAATACTCCCCAGACATTGCGAAGCCGTCAACCTGAAGGTAGCATACATTTAATTCTATTTGTTCGTTTTATGCCAAAATTGAAAAACTAAGCAATGAATCAAACACTTGTATAGACCAGTTTTCGCACCTTGATTAAAGCTTTCAAACACGCAAAGCATAACAGAAGATTGTGTGACGTTGAAAATTTAAAAGAAAAAGCTTTGCAAATGAAGCGCTAATAAAGGTATAACCCTAACAGAGCGGAAATTTCCTGCTTACGTAGTGCATTGGGATACACGTTTATAGATGACATAGATTAAGGTGCAAACATTACAAAATGAATTTGCTCTTTACATACCTACAGACTAGCACTTGCTTAAAGCGAGTAGTGAACTCTTCGATTTAGCACTCATTTAAAATACCTTTCACATGGTACAAAAAAGTCGATACATTGAACTCTAGTTTTTTTATCATGTATTATAAATCTGACTGCATTAATAATAAACTCTCTCAGAATACAAACCTAACTTATTTCCACGTCTTATCATCCAAGTTGATTTAGTAGGAAGAACGCACTATGCAAATATGTTATATCGTCTCTGCACAATGGCGTCTTTTTCTCCGTAATTCAGGGATAAAGAAATTGCAGCATAGACACTTGGGTATACACGAGACAGTTGTCTTAACCACAAAAAAAAATATTTTCAGTAAGTATCAATAAGTAAGAGTTGCATTGCATCATTCAATCACATGAACGACCAAACTTGTTATCACAAGGACTACAAAAACCTCACATTAAAAAATAAAGGGTGGTAACTAATTTTGACTTCTGCATTGCCACTGAAATTATACACAAACATTCAAAGAAACCAGATATTCTCTTTACAACTGCAGCCATTCGGGGGATCATCTTTAAGGTCTACTATAACGATGCAAAATAGTGAAGTGTACGCATATGAACACTGTCTTCAAATATCCTCCCGTGAAATTTACGGTTCCCGATTGCAGTTTCGTATAGAAGATCTTAAGGATGGTCAGAGCTTCACAGCTGGACATAACTGATTCTTTAAGGAAAACCGTTACAACACTCAAAAGTAACAGGTACGCATAAAGGAAACGCGTGTAAAAACCGATGACGAAGCCTTCTACTGGAATCGGAGCGCATTGATCTTTAGAATATGCACCTACATGTGGTACAAATGACTAACTCAGGTATTCGAACACTGATATGTAAATACAACGTTTGCAGACAGCAAACCAGGATGTTGATTATGAACGGATTGGCACCATAGTGTTGCTAAACAAAGAGGCCTTCAGTTGAACTGCATGACATTTGTTAACAGCAGCTTGGTCATTTTCGTTCGAGATTTCCTCAGCAACATAAACGCTGCCACCTATTATGTTTGTGTTAAGGACTGCGCAGCACAAGCGTTCATTTTTTAGCAAACGTCGAATATAGCAGCAGCACTTACTCACTTTTTGTCTTGTTTTTTAAGTGTTCTATGTTTTCCTCCACGATAATTGCACTTCGTGAACTATAGCCAACACTAAACACGGATTCTTCGCAGTTACCACTTTGAATCCTTTCTGAGCCCTTGGCATCTAATATATACCTATCGCATGGCGTTCGATGCAGTACCGGTGTTTTGACTCCACTCCGCCAATTTAGAAGCGTAAAAACGGCGGAAAATTTCGAATTATTTGTGTTATGCCAGCTAGAAAACAAGCGGCCAACTTTCATCGTCAGGTATGAATACTGTACAATACGGTGCTGAAATGGAGTTAGTTTGAAGGTGTAAAAATGAAACAGCTGGGCATATAGCCATCCTTCGTCCCTTAAGACCTGTCGGAAAAGTTTCAAATGTGTGAACAGCTAGCATTTAGAGGATAGATTTGTATAAAGGTAAACATAGAGCCGGAATCTGGAGTAGCTTATCACCGTCGAAAAATGTCCACAGGGGATGGATGGTAAGCGCTTATCGTGAATTTTGAGTGTTATCCTATATTTGTATATTGAACATACACTGATTGATCAACACGAGTTCAAGTCGCATTTACTTAAGTTAGCGAAAGTAATATTTGTTTAACAAATAACAAATTACAACTTTAACTCAATTCTGAGAAACCAGTTTAGCGCTTGTCACTGCAAACGCATGTAACAACAAAGTAGTTGTGCAATAGAGCGAACAATTGAAAGGTTTATTTAAAACTAAGCTTTCAGGCTCATTATAATCACTTACTATTTTAATTTTCCCTGACTAATACTAATTTTAGTTCATTACACTGGGGTCACTGGTGTTTTGTTAATGAAATATATTACGTCCAAAACATGTAAATATAATTCATATATCTATTGCCAATGTTTAACAATGAAAACAGCTAAAATTATCATCCAGCGAGTCGAATTGCCAGTTGACAGTTGCTCTTTCTGTAAGTGAATAAGGTGCACAAAAAATTCAGGAAGATAACAACACTTATAATAACTGTAATAAGGTATACTATTATGTAGGCTCCATTTATCCGCTCTCGTGTTCTAGAATTTAGAAAACGAATATCTATAGAACGCTTTTATTATTTAATGCTTAGGTTACCTGTATATTCACTAGAAAAGCACGGCTAGTATCAATTAATATAGCAAGGTATTGTTCCAAAGCTATATCATATATAGCGATTTAGAAGCATTTTAACAGTTTTTATTTCTCATTAACGTCGAAGAACTTATCAAAAACGAGACTTACAAGGGCAACATACTTCCGATGCTAAACATGGTACTTCCTATCTCTAAGGGGGCTCGCATTATACTCAATATAGTAGCATATATAAACCGTTCTAAAAATAAGGCTTTGTTGCCGAGTTTTTATTTTTTTCATCCCAGAGGCGATCTTTTTCTATTTATGATCAACTCATATAACTGGGGTAGCAGCATAATTATTTATTTATTGGCATAGGGTTCGTCAGTTAAACTCTGCCGAGGCTGAATGTGAGTGGATAGCCGAGAGACTCCGGACTCGTGATGGACATCAGAAAGGAAGTCGAGCTTACATTCGCAACAATCAAGATGTAAGTCGAGGTACTAATCACATCACGGATACTATCCAAGAGCTCACTGAGCTACTCAATCAACAGTCTATCACGGGGAAGATGTGAGTACCATATATGTTTTTCAAATATAGCATAACATTAACTAATGGGAGCTAGCTCCTTTTTCATGACGACTTCATAATAAAGATACCAATATAAAATATGCATTTTCAACGATAGGATAATTGGACTGGCATTATGAATGTTTGAGCTTTTCTATTAGCACATCCCTAGTCTGATCATCACGTATGTAATTGGGATAATAATATCTAAGAAAGAGTAAGTTTGAATAATAAGACTACACTTGCGATACAAATAGATAAAATAAGAACCTTGAAATCGATAAGCACTAGTTACTTAGATTCATTCTTCGTATACGTTGGGCTATTTCTATTGAAAACTGTTGGGGTGATTTTTTCCAGATCTAATAGAAACTAACTAGTGTATGTATCCGAATATTCGTTATTCATTTTCCTTAATCTTCCTTTCTATGATGAGCGCTATCTAGCATTCTCTCTGTGCGGCACTTATGCTCGGAGACAAAACATTCAAAACACAAACCACTGAAAAATCATAGCGTCACAGTTGAATTGTCGCTAAGCTTACCGGTCTGATTTGCCACTCGACGTTGACGTAGTATTAAAGAATAGCCATGAAATACTTCGATAAGTGTACGTGAGATGCTACATATTACTGGTTCATTATACGTACTATATTACTTATATGTTTGGAATAGAAATATTTAAATATGTATTTTTCGTGCGACTCGTCTAGGGGCTTACTCTCGAGCCACTCTGAGTTCTAAGTTAGTGAGCTATAAGTTCCTCGACTTTTATTTATGGTATTATCGTTAAATATCGCTTCAGACGGCTAGGTACATCTATTATGAAATGAAATGTGTTTACGGCCAGGCGTGAATTTAGATTATCACTATGTCCTTACGTTTAGTAAGCAAACAAGTTAACTATCACAGGGTTCCAAATTTCTAACTTAGCAAATTCCACCTTCACACATGGTTCTACCCTCCTGTTCCACAGAACGGAACGTGAAGCCAATCGGCGACAGGCCTTGTTACACCGCCTCGAATCTCGTTTCGGCGATCTCCAGCAAAAGGCAAAAATAAATACGCAAGAACACTTTCTGAGAAAGGATCTCTTTGGCGGTTATGGTTTCGATGGCGAACTGGCAACGTGGAAAGAAGCACGTTGTTCTGGGGGCGGCGATTCTGCTGTTTATTTTGCCACTCAGGAATCGTTTCAAGCCCAGAAGAACAATATACAGGGTGAGCTTTGTGATTTGTAAACATTGCTATCTAGTACGATTCGCAAATATGGTTTTTAAATTCATACCACTGGATACATAATATTATAGAAATACTTTTGTTTTCCAATACTCATACGATATAAGACAATATACATTTGCGTCCTCCTAATTGATATATTCGTGAACGAAATCAGTTTCGTATTTACTAAAACTGAAGAACTCGATACGTGTCCTAATAAAGTGAAAACGCAAGAACTTCTAATGTTAAATACCCATTTTGAAACCATAAGCTATTTTATCCGTCGAGATTCAATATACATTAAGCATCTTTCATTAGTTTATTTTTTGTCTTTTTTTCCGTTTATAATTGTACTACTGTGTTGAATTTACTAAATAACGTCAAAGACTATGTTGATTTTTTCTGCTAGAATCAGCTCAAGATGCCGGCCTAGAGCAATTGTCATCTATTATGTCTCGGACAAAAACAATGGCGCAAAATTTTACAACTGAAATTAATCTTTGCAACGAGATTCTTGACGATGTTGCCGAGCAAATGGATACGGCCAACGAACGACTTCTACGAAATACTGAAAGAACCCAACAACTCGACGTGCGGAGCGGCACTTGTGGACTTTGGGTTGTTGTTACGTTACTATTTATTGCTATTGTAGTTGTTGCACTAATACAGACCTGAAGTCAAGCGGCATAATGAAAAAGATAAATCAAATGAGCGATGACAGAATAGTGTGATATTATAAGGATGAACGTTGTGTGCCTTGCTGACGTTAATTCAGGTAAATGCTAATTATTAAAGCCACGCATCGTCTGCGCCGCTACGAATCCTGTTTATCAATGAAGATCCGATAAGAACAAGTTCTCCAGTGTGAACCGAATATTCGCGATGCGCTATATGGCCATAGAAACATCAAAAAATTTGACTATTAGGCCAATTAGTCAATGTAAGATAATTATTATTATTGTCCGATACAAGTTTTTAAACATTTGACGTAAACGCTGAAAATATGATGCAAAACTGCGGACTGACATAAAACAAAATGGTGGTTGTATCCGTAGTGAAACGTTTGATCTTTTGAAGCCAAATACTAATTGACTAGACTTAAAAAATATCAGATTAAGAATAAATAGTAAAGAAAAACATAGTTTATGGAGAAGTACATTTTACAGACTTGTAGTACTCTCGTTTAGATACTACTTTATATAACACAGTTATGCTGTTCCAATTTTATTTCAGCTCTTTATTCTGCGTATAATAGCTTTAGAAGTTTATAAATTACTGACGATGCTAAAATCAAGCCAATCACTATAAACATTTATATGAAAATAATAATACGAACTTCTCAGTTGATGAAATCCATGGTCAGCTGGTAATAGGATAAGAATTATCTAGAGCGGGCATATATTTCGAGGAAACAAAACGGGTGAACTGAGTACACAGCCTAACAAGGGCCAACGGTAGGTAAATTGTTTATGAAGATCTAATGTGGAATACCTTGTATTCCGTATTGGATTTTTTAGCCGAAGAGAACTGCTGCCCGAACTGATTGGGAGATAAGTCGTGACGCTGTACTATTTTATATAAAACACGGTTAATGGGGAAAGCTTTAAGGGGAGCAAGAACTGCTTGCAGTTGATTCGTCGATCAACGATCGATAAAGCATGACTAAATAGTTGTAAATGAAATAACGAGCACTGTGATGTGCCTCAGTTTTTACTCCGCAAATATGTTACGATGACTGAAATAGCCTAAGAAATAACTGGGCTCAACTAAGTCCCGTTAGAATTTGCGGAGAGCATGTTTTTGTTATGTGGCAGCCTCGATATACCATGTTTCTTTTCATCGGCTGCAGGTTGTCTGATCCATTTATGAACGAGATATGAACCCACGATGCCTATGCTCATTATCGACGAAAACATGTGCGAGACGGGTTGTTTTTTGCAATAGTTACGACCGCCGCAATTTACCGCCTTTTGTTGTTATGGTTACGATTGTCGGCCACGATCATGCAAGTGTTGTTTGGTTAGTGCGAGCCGGTTCTCTTTGCTCACGGTTAAGATCGCTGTCAACAACTTATGCATTATGAGGCTAACATCACAAAGTGGCCCAGAACTCTAGGCAGTTCTTTCTCAAGGCCCCTTATTAAATTGATAAAGGATTAGATCTTCGACTAAGCCTCAAGGTCGTAAGCCTTAATTGCGAATCGAAGCCTAACCCTATTACGAACTCGTATAGAGAGCCGTAAAAATTACACATTCTACATACCTATAGATGAACTGGTAGGGCAAAAAACGCGGCGTATTTTTGCGCCGCGTTATGTGCAAATAGCATGTTTATGAAAATACTTATGTTTTTCTACAATGGTGGCGCCACCGAACAGATTATTCGAGGTTGCGCCATGATCCCAAATGATGGTGACTAGGACAGGGTTCTTTGCTATTGTTAATGTATTTGCACGGTTTATCTTAGTGTACTACGGGTTCCTCGAGCAAAGTAATATTTTTATGTTGGGTACCATCACAACATGGAACAAACTATGGGAAATAAAATATATGTAACAGCCAACCTACATAAGATCTGTAAGTGCGTCGGTGGTATTCTCATGCTGCCTGTTGTATCAGATTGAATCGGCTTGCTTTTATAAGTATAGAGTCTTTTTCGCCCATATCGTTGTTCGGCCCGATTTAATAATTGCCAACAACTTTGTGTGTCGTAAAGTTCTTGCAATTCTTTCAATACAGCTATCTAACTACTTAGCTACTGAGGATTGAGTTAAGTAGGTAGGCGTTACATAGGTAACAAGTTGCGCTCATATTCGCGGAACCTGTGCTCAGGATTGAATTGTTATATATGTTGCTAAACACGATATAATTACTTGAAAGTCTCAACAGCAACTGTGACCGTTAAAATACAAGCGGTATCAGACGAAGTAAACGTATGCAAGGTTGAATTATATATTAGGCCAGTACTAATGTCCCGTTTATCCAATCATGGATGACAAGTGTTGTAACGCCATCATTGGATAATAGAGGCGCATGCAAATAATTGCGATCTAAATATATTTTTACAGTTAATCATAACTGTTAATTTACTTACCGCGTATTTCGGCATTGATTGAAAGCGTACCTTCTTTAAAATTATGAGTTTCCATTTATATAAGTGATCGAAAGCTCTAAAAGATGCCAAAATCATTTGAATCTATCTCAAATGATTTTCAATCCTAATTATTTTTCGCAACTTAGTTCACATTCTCATGAGACCTGCCCGCCTTGATAGTCACATCGAGTGCAACACAATGGAGGGAAAGCCTAGTTGTTTTAGCTTTAGTGGCCAAATTCATTGCAGTGAACAAAACCGTGCCTTATTATATGTCATCTCTAAATGAGTTCAAGACGAACTACGCATGTTTAATAATAATAACACGCAATTTGTATTTTAATTTTTTTGTGCTTGAAGAGTTTATTAGGTAATTGCATGAAATGTATTTCTATTTCTCTCATGATTAGTTACTTTATGTACAAGTACTGTATATGTACAACTGAAGGAATAACCTTCTTGCTTCTAGTTTCAAATTTAAAAATAATCAAATTTTACTTCTGTCACTTTTAATTGGTAAAACGTATCTGTAAACGACAGATCTTTAGACGAGTTTATTTTCCACGACTTTTGCTTTGCCATACTGAGCTTTCGCTTAAACTTTCTCATATTATAGGATCATTCTCTAATACAGATGAAACCCACACAATGTTTCTTGATTATGTTTAATTTCACAATTTTTTTTTAGATTTTAGAACCCCAGCCAGATTCGAAGATTACTAATTGCTTTAAGCGAAATCCTATGTTTTATTTTTCATTAATTGCTATATCATCTGCTTTGTCCACTAGAAGAGCCACTTAAATTAGTTGATTAATAACGATTTATAAATTCAATTCGTTTTTTTTTAAACTCGTACACAAACAGCTATATATACACACACACACAAGCATACACCCATCAACTCAAACACTCCCATATACAATCGAATGTGTTTCGCCAATCGACTGCAGGATATTGGTAGATCACACGATCATTTTCTGAGAAGATCAATGATATTAAGAATTATTACTGATAACCACCTATTATGACAGCAGGATTGCTAACTGCAAACTGTTCTTTTCATAGTAGTGTTGCTTTTGATAACCTTCTTCTTTATTTCCTATGAACAAGTTTAGGAAAACGAAGTTGCTAATGCCTCCTTAGCAAACCTTATTTAGCTTAAGTCCGTGCGTCTTTTAATAATTATCTACTGTAGATTCAGCGAGTATATTAAGCAATCGAAATCGATTAACAGAATTGTAAGTACGCTCATAGCAGTAGTAGTTATCATATAGACACCTTCCTCCACAACAAAAACGTCATTATTTGTAAAGAGATTTCCTCAGTATGTTCGTTACCTATTTATTATATTCTTATTATTATTAGCGCACTTACGTATAGAGTTAGTTTTGTCCTCTTTTGCATTGTTTCTATTAATAGCATTTCATTTTTTTTCTATCGCATCGAATCTGTTTATTAGCGAAGTTAGCACAGTTAGATAACTCAACAACATTATTGAGTTAATCACGACTTCGTCCGTAATATCACTCTCTTCAGCCGTAATCTTTTCTCAAGGAATAGAATAAAGCATACAGCCGGAGATACTTCGTTCAGGTGGACTGATTTCACTAGTTACATCCGTTTTGATACCTGTGTTGCCACAAAGCACGCAGTACTGAATATGTATGAACGATAATAATGAGTAACAGCTTTATTGCAGTTTTTTTTTACCGCTTGATTTGTTCTGCCCATTCGTATATCCCACTGGCTTCAATAGGCCTGAATTAACGGTGTACGTTTCAGCCATAAATACTCGTTGACAGTATTAACGTCAACGCTTATGTAACGTGTTGCGCCACGGCAAGTCACGGGTACAAGAGAGGTTTCCTCTATCAGAATAAAACAAGTGGAGCCAGGATATGTTCGTTCATTATGGCTCCTTTACATTAGATTTTATAAGTTTTTTGGTCAGACAAACTTTCTCACAGGAATATCACGCCGTAACTCTCAGCCCTAAGTAATACGTTATGAAGGGGTAAGAAATTATCAATCGCATCTTTTTTTGAAGTGCCGTAGGCACATACAGCTTTTAGTTTGATGGAGTCATGCCATATCAAACAAATTCGAAGGTTCCGCTATACGTGTTCTTCGATTGAATTATCCCAATTCATTCGGATATACTCTTCAAACCGAATGCGCGTTTCATGAAGCACCTTGTGCACGTTATGCTTGCGGATCATTTTGTCAAAATGCATGGCTAACTCATTATAGTCCATACCGCTCCTGATGATTGTGTCACGTTGCTGAAGCAGTAGCGTGAGACACAGGAACATCATGAATGGATTGCCGCCCCCCAGCTGACTGGGGGGTGGCAGAGGTCTCGAAGATTTTTGGGAAAACTCTAGCACTCCTAAATCGAGCACGGAGCGTGTATCTTCTTGACAAGATACCTCTTTCGATGAAAGTGTTGCTTCGGAACAATAACCTTCAGATGATGCAAAGGGCTTCTTTGGTCTGAAATATCAATACAAACATAGCGAGTGTTTAGAGTGTTTACTTTCAGAAGATAGAATAGTGGAACAATGTTTTGTAACTTTACAACTTTCAAACATAGAATCAAATTCGTTTTTGCAATAGAGCCTGCCCTTTAATTTGGTTTGACAATGTTCCATGACTTCACTTTATGCCACGTGCCCCAAGTTATGTATAATATGGTTGTTACATGCGGAAAATATTGAACTGTTACAAGTGAATCCGGTAAACTTTGAAATTGAATAACTTTTGAACTAACTAGGTTATAAAGATTATGTTTTAGTATGAGCTAAAAGTACACTTTTTAATTGTCCCAACGCTCCGGCAGCTTCTGAACGGCAATATACCTACTATTCGCGTTTCTATATATAATTTATTTACCCATGGCTACTCAAAATAAATTAACAGTGGAATAGACTTGCGCAGTGGTTGCCACTTCGAGAGCATTGAAAGCTCTATAATGATATGGAGGTAGAGCGAGAGAATAACCAGATTAAAGTCAAACGTTGGGGAATCTTTTATTCAATCCAAGAAGTAATAGAAACATAACGATGAAGTGTACAATGGTCATCGAGTAGCCTAAATAGACTCCGTACTTTTGACCAACGGTTCAATAGACTTCCGAGGAACTCGCAACAGCGGGCCACCCTTATTGTTTGATTTCTGACTGGCGAATAGTAGCGAGTAGTAATGTTCATTGCAAATGTTATCATCCACACTAGCACCATATTCGATTTCTCTTTAAAGCAACATCATTTTCTTGCCTAATGTCTCTCCGGATGGCGATAGAGATTGAATTTATGGCAGCGGTATGCTCTAGACGGTTTTTTTTCTTAATTAAAGTTTCACAAATTGTGCATGGAATAGACCGGATACAATTTCAACCGCTCTGGAGTTTATTTTTTACTCAGTGTCCCTATTTCGGGTTATAATTTTCTAACACGTTACATTCGAAGTGCCAGTTTTGGCCCACAGAGCTTTTAAGACTCCAATCTTTGCTTTCGTAAAAGCTTTTCTCGATTGCAGCAATGCACCTTGTTCTTAATGTCCCGAGATAAAGTCGCCTCCTTGTCAGTCTTTAAAACTAGTTTTTATTCTTGACTTCTTGCACCACCTATTCGTTAAATTTCCGCACCACTATCGCCTTCGAGGAACGAAAATTTGATCACTAAGCGTTGACTTCACATTTTGAGAGATGTTTTTCCTTCTGAACTCGTTCCCCGTCGAGTAAATCAGTTAGATTAATAAATCAGTTTCTACTCTGACTGGAACACTTATCAACCAAATTTCGTTTTTCGGAGGTTGTAGCTGAAAGTTACTCAACGGAAATCTGCCAGATTTGCTTCTAACAGTTTAATGAAGGCAATCACATTAGCTTGTGCGGAGTTATTCAATGGGCCGGGAACCTTAAATTACGAATCACTAGCGGATGAAATTCGGTGTATGGTTAATTATATAGGTGGGATTGAATTTCAAGGTAGCGATATCGTCTAGTACTAATAATTAACATTGAACGATTAAGTTGTTGTCCGTCGAAAATCGTAAAAGATTCGTGATACAATAAGCAAGAAAGGTTCCAACGAAGCAACGGTTCGCTGTCTTAGCAATCATTTCATGAGCTGAGATCGGAAATAGAAAGACTACAAGAAAGAGACATATATATATATATATATAAATTTGAAATTGTTGTAATTATTTGCTGTTCTAAACACACAACCATTCTACAGTCTGTTGTCGCCAGTACATTATCAGTACGTCAAAACCCAATAGATAGATAAATAGATGACCTCCGTTTATAGAGCATCGCTAATCTTTCCGTTTCCGCAACAAGCAGCGATAGCAACAGTACTTTCCGCTCAACGCTTATTTTTTTGTTTTCGTTGTCTACAGTCCATAAATCGATTGCTCGATAAATCGCAAGCTAGAGCCAAAGACGTTGATCAGTCAGTACGCCACAAATAGGGAAAGGTCAGTTTAAGGCTGCGTTGTGACAACATCGCTCGATAAACAATAACAACAACAAAGAACATGGTCGTTTTCGAAGCCTCTTGTCCCCTCCCTATCTCCACTTCCGGCTCCCTGCTAGCGACCACTTCTTCGGACAAAAAATGGCCAACGGGTCCATTGTTGTTGCTGCCACTACTGCTGAATTGGAATAGATTACACAATTGGGGCAGGAAGCTAACCAACGCTAGAGAGGGTATAACCAATTAGCAAAAACAAGTTGTGAAACTGGGATATTTTCAAGTCGAAAAGCGTACCAACGCGCCTTGCTGTTTCATCAAGCCTCCTGCAACCCAGCATTTAATTAATCCCTGTTCATACCTAGAAGTAGGCTGTAACTAGGTGATATGACATAAGGTACAGCATATACAAATTCCCTGTTTGACTTGAAGAATACGGATTATATCTAGTAAAATTTATAATTTGTGTTTCAGTTTTACTGCATAAAAATTATCGAAACAAAAACTCCCAAAGTGCACAGCACCAAAATGTAATTCTGTTATAGATAGAGATTTTAGACATACGAAATTCGACGATTCAGTTGTATATATATATAACGCTTCAATGCAGACTAAAGACTATCTAAATGTTATTCCACTTTTGCCTTTTTCCTTCCTACCTGTACACGATAGTGTCATCTTCGTAATCGGAGTCCTCGCCTTTTTCCTCGTGCAGAAGTGGATCAGAATGTGAAGATGCCGAGGTCGATGCTGAGGTTGAGGACCCGCTCCTCCGACGGTCAAGTGAATTTTGACAGCTGAGAGTGCGTTGAGTTGATCCATTTCCAAGAATATCGCCTAAAAGAAATAGTGAATAAGTCATCGCGGCTTTGTTCTTCTGCACAAAAGGTGTACAGGCCAGGCTACTTACCGTCTACACTATAGAAATCGAGGTCACATTGTTCATCCGGAGTGCCACAATAGGCGTGAGTTTGCTTTCGCATCTTCCATAAACCTTCGTTCTCTATCAAAGTGGTACGTTCTTCAACAATGTTATCAAATGTGAAATGCTGTGAGTCTGTTGCTTGTTTGTTGATCGTGGATCCTGTTGGCCCAAGCAGTACGCTTTTGCTAAGGTTTTGTAAATCCATACGCAGCTCATTCGTGATCGGATCCGAAATGGGATTGTAGTCTTGAGAGTCGTCCGTCGCCTCAGTAATACTGCTTCTTCGGCTACCATTCTCAACAATCACTCCGTTCTGGACCTTTGGCGTGCCACATAGAAGTGAGGAAGATGAACTCTGTTTGCGGATCTGCCGTACTTTCGTGTAAGGATTCTCCCGGCTATGCACCCGCGGACTTTGGGGACTCTTCGTGTCTTGTCCGAAATTAATTTCAAACAGAGCCAGTTCACCATCAGGCGGCATCGGTGGTAGAGAACTCCACAGCACTTCGAGCATGCACAAGGCATCGTCAAACGAGAATTCGCGTTTAAGCTCTAATAACAGCCACCGATAGCAGTACAGTAAATCGTCAGCTCCATTGCTTTTAAGATAGTCGAAGAACTCCGGGTCGTAGTGCTGCAGCAGTAAAGATAAGTGTGCAAACTTCTCAGTAATAGCCAGCCCGTTGATGTTGAAGTTTGGTTTCAGACGCTGCATGAGGGCTGTAAAGCAGATATAGGCATGAGCCTCGTTATTCATCGTAACTAGCAACGGGGACGCGAGGTCGGACATGCCTTGGCAGTACGACACTGACGGGTGGTTGAGCGCGAATGTCGTAAGGATTCGGAAAAGTTTGGCAACGTTTTTGTTATCGTCGCCACCAGCATAAAAGCGGTGCGTTCTGTCGGTACGTAAAACATCCTTTGAGACCAGATTGATGACGTACTGCATTTCCTCATTAACGACGCCTCTCTTCTGCATGTCCACCCATGTGCTCCTTAACGTGTAGTATTCATTCGCCTTATGTTTCATATATTGGATTCGTTGATCGCCCGTCAGGTTGTCGGGATACACGTTCAGTATGTGCTGCCATACCACCTGTGAGCGAAACAATCCTGAAGGGATCAGTAAAGCAAGGCAAAAAAAAACTACTCTCTCTTTTAGGACAAACTGCCGCAGATTGATTCATGATTATATTTTAACTATTTTAGTTAGCTGAATGAAGTTTATCGAAGAATGACGATTAATATAGCCAATAAATCCGATCAACCCAATTACAAACCTTTCTGAGCCCCGGTTCCACCCCTCCCCGGAAGATGGATTTCCGTAGCTCTTGTGGATGTACTAATCTGTCGTCACTATCCAGGAAATTTTGCAATTCGCGCATGTTCATTGGGGGCTTTGATGGCTTGTAACGGTCTGAGACGCCATTGAGGACGGCATCAGGGGCTAACGCTAGCACCTTTTGAAATTTGCTGAATGTTTTCAATGTTTTCTCCATCTGAAACAGGTGAATATAATTTGTTCGTTTTATAACAATCGTAGCGAAATTAACTCTTAGTTGTTTTAAAAGGTGCACTCTTGTCAATGAATGGGGGATCCCTTGCGCAGATCCGATACGAATATGTGATTTTTAACACACATGGCAGTTAAAAAGAAACAATCAACCTCCATTGAAATATCAATTAGTCTACCGTCACCACAGTAAACAATATACGACTCATTACTTACGGAGATGTTTATTGTAAGCACTTTATCCAATAGCAACAGAAACTAGAACGCAGACTTTTTAGTCGCCTCACAATTGGCTTGATATATATAAATAATGTTCAAATAATTATTTTTCATTAATAAGGGCATAACGTCTTCGATTTAGCGATAACAATCGGAGATTTTTATAATCACATCCATAAACATATACATACACTATATAACATACGCTCGCTGTAATAAACCGGTAACTTGAATTAGGTCTGAGCAAACTGACAAAAGAATGAGGAGTGGGGTAAATGTATCAGCGACCAAAAGTGATCTTTTAACTATCCTGATATTAGGACTTACTTGGAATTGCGCGCGCAGTCAAGAATTTTTATGTTGGGCTTAGTAGTTGGCTATCAATGGACCAAATTGGGTTTGTGCATGGTTAAGAGAACATCTGCTGGCCAATACACTTCTGAAGTAAAGTAGAAGCTTAGATTCTAAGGGTCCTGTAAAATGCGTGCCTCATGAATAGTTTCCTTTGTTTACACAGATCATGTAGTTATGGCTGTTGGTGAGACCTTCGTCTCTTTCAATTAGATCTCTCGCTATAGAAGCCAGCGTGATCATTTTGGACCTCGCGTTAATCAGTAACGCAAACGTTTATCTTGATCACTTGATTTGCTCAACAATTTCATCACTCACTTGTTGCATAAGGAAGTTGCCGGTGAGCTGTGCGTTGTTCCGAACGTGACTGGCGGTCAGCGGGGGCTTTGAGATATCAGCGGGTGCAATAATGTCCCATTCTTCTAAGCCTAAAAATAAGGCAAAATTAGAGTGCCAGGTAAAAACAATTGAAAGAGTATCAATCTGGACAAAAGCAAGACAGTTGGGCCTCTACAGATTTGTCATTCCTGTGATAGTGAAAACAATATACTTATCGCACGGAACTTATCAAACTCGATACTAAGCCGGTCACTCTAAGCTAATGACAACTTGTTGATTTTTTCTATACACGCTCGAGCTACCGGTGTCGCAATGCTGTTATTTTTAATAAGTTTCCGGGGCAAAAAATATGAGCTGGCGCCGATCTGCTAGCAATCTTTTAAAAATATAACTTGGGCTTTACGGCCCGGCCTTAAAGTTGAAGTTACGTTCTCGTTGTTAAAAAAAAAAAAGGGGTGCAAGACGACGCAAAGCGACTTCCAATATGTAACATCTCTGTGGAAATGCTGAATAGATAATTTGATAACCATCTAAAGATCGAATCTAGTTTCGATGTCGAAGATCTCCGCTATATCACTCCAAGTGTCTAATTATGTTGCTTTTTTAGCCGTGTAATGCGCTAGTACCATTGGTATCAAAATAAAGCGAAACTTTTGGCATAACGAAAAGCTTCACCCAAAAAGTCATGATGCTGGTTTTGTTACTCCACTCATTTTACGTACTGTTCATCTTCCGATTTAACGGATCCATATGAGAGATGGCTGGCTTTCGTTTCAATTGAGATGACGCCAGCAGTTGACGGCGCTGAAAGATCAAGTGTCCAGATTCAAAAGTTCGCGTGTCCATTTTGAACAATTGCGAGACAAGGCAAGCTCAAACTGTGTAAGATTGTACCCACAAGTAGTGGTCTCATTAATTCAACGATAGACCTGGATACCGATCAGATAAGCAGTTATCTTTAGGTGCGAGCCATTACAACAGAAAAATTATCATCTATTTTTTGAGATGTCCCTCACCCGTTCTCCATATCTATTGCTCCTCCGAACTGCTTGTTCAATGTTGCTCCTCTGTTTTGTCGAGAGAGAGAGAGAGAGAGCAGAGAACGATTTTACAAAAGGTAAGAAACGTTTTTTGTCAATCTCGGTCTTTCCGTACAGCCATTTCTATTTAACACTCCAGTATAAACGCAATATTTCTTGAAAAAGTTTTCTTTAGTATAATTTCATCTGTGAAACACCTATGTGCCGTTCTCTACATTTGATTTAAAAAAATATTATTTTTGACTATAATCGTCCAATTACTATGTAACGCGTACACCAGCTATTGAAATATATAAATTCCTCTTCGCCAGAACAAACTGCTCCGTACCGTTTCGAAATAAATCAATCATCCAGTTTTGCTTGATTGAATGTAGTTCCCATCGATTGCCCCTATACTATTATAACAAAACATTTGGTTATCGATATATTTCAAAACAACTAAAATACTCTGACAAAAAACACTTACTGCTGCAGGTAGATAAAGGCTTACACCAACTTTTCATTACTGACTGTAGGGTCTTTTTACATACCTAATGTATAAACCTAGCATAGGTGTTCTTTTGATTTGCTGATGCTAGAAAAGTATGGCTTTGGCACGACGGACACATTAGAAGATGAATGGCTTACCTCAAGTAGCCACACAACAACATAACTTCTTCTTTATCGATGCTTTACTTTTATTAAACATCTTAATACGACGTGGGACTGATTTGAGAGGCTGTCAAAATCAGGAATAACCCACATTAAAGTTCGCGAGTGGGAAAAGTTTACAACTATAGAGCTTTATATCTTCATACGTCAATAAAGTAAGCACTACTTGTAGCGAGACAACTTGCCTTCCTCGAAGGGCTTTAGGTCCACGAGTAGGGACAGGCACGGGTGAGATGAACTAAGAAACGCCGCGTCAAGATCCCAATCGGATAGCAAGCCCAGGTACGTCTCTTTGCCCTCGTCATCTTTAGCCAAATAATGGATTGTGAATTCCCTAAACGTGAACAACGCAGAAAAAAGATACGGCATATTAGTTAGCTTACAGTTGATATTTGGAAAAATCAACTCTCTCTCTATTAGATGTTTATTTTAGCGCCAATAAAAATATAATTAAGTTATTAAGATGAACAAAGTGGGCACCTTTGGCAAATATCTACCTTTGGAGCGTCATACCCTTATAAAATTGTTTACGGTCTACTTTAACTTGCTTGTCACAGCAGGCCGACGTTTAGACCCGTAAGCAAATAGTGATTCTGTCCATAAAGACATAAACGAGGGTCAAACTAACAATCTTGGACTCTTTCAGCCGAGCAGTGAGGCTTGTGAGCCATTACGGCGAGTGCTAACTCCCGATCTCGATTTAAGCAACAGTCATCTGTCAGTTTTGCAACAAAATGCTGATTCTGGCAACTTACTATAGAACCATTTTGTCAGATTTAATGACACACAAACCTAAAAGCTCATTTTTGCAATAGGCTATTATTAGTGCCTTCAGTATAGAGCTGTCCAGAGTGTTTTGGATATAGAGTGATTATTTTACTTCTTTATCCGCGACTGAGAGCAATGATTTTCTCTGTCCGTTAAGTTTTCCTCGTATTAGCTTATGAACATAGGTCATCAGTTACGAGTAGCAGAATGGGAGAGCCTCCAGATTAAACCATATTGACTATTTATATTTTCGTGAAACAAAAGTCATTTGTAAGAGGTTGAATTTATCAACACTTACTGTCCCGTATACAGCATAATGAGACTTAATATTTTACGGGAACCTAAAGACGGGCGGAAAAAGGTCGATGGCTTATTACCTTTTATGGTGACCCACCTCGTTACGGACTCTCGCGCATTCAAATAAGCAAAACCGATACCATGACCCTTTAGAATTAAACCTTACCTAAAGCATGGTAGACATATCTAGGGTGAATTGGAGGTATGAGGGATTTCGACGTAGACATTAAGGCTTCATACTACATCTCGTCACCAACCTGAGGGAGCAAATCATTTAATATCTCGATTGAAACATAGTCACTAGCATTGACTTCCGTATCCTTGTTAATTCATTGGAAAATGTTAGCCTGATTAGCATCTCGTAAATTGCCTACAGACGTCTTATCCGTCAGATCAATTCTATCGTTAGAAGTATTTGTTTGCTCAATAATTAAGTGCTAAAAGACAATGCGGCTTATATCATAAACCTGCCTAGATGCTATTTTCGTTGACAGCGTTCTTGAAATGCTAAGTCTTAAACCTACCCTTTGATGTCAAATGCTTCAGCGAGTAAATTTTGTAAAGCCTCAAAGGTTGTAATCTGCGGATCAACAGAAAAACGTCTCCACTCGGCAGACGGGGGACCCGCGCCCGCACCTGAAGACAGCCGTGGAGGCCGACAATGCAGACTAGCCGCTGACACCTGTAATAGAGGTACGGTCGTGAAAATTAAAAAAAATACTATATTTAATTAAAAATTTAACAAAAAAAAGCAAAATTGTATTAGAAAAAAAAATACAAACTCTATAAAATTTAATAGAGGTCGCAATCGCTACCTCTCACATATCATCCCATTAGAATTATCTCGTGCAAAGCAACGTCATTGACGCTATTGAGAACTAACTAGTAAGAGTTAGTTATTAAATCTGTGTGTAAAAAGTTAGATGGGTTGTATTTAGCACGAGAAAAGGGTTGAATCGAAATTGTTTCAGTTTCTTAAGTTCAATCAGCATGTATTAGTGATCCAAGCAGAACGGTCTACCTATTATTTCACTGTTGATTGGCAAAAAATGCATGATGCTCCCGTTTTAATTGGACGGTTTTTCTAAAAAAAGGTGGTAATTAATATTTAGCCTAAATGTTACAAGTTCATATTATGACTGCTCAAGTACTTTGCTATATTCGAGCTTTGGCTGCAAAAGCATTTCTTTCTGCAACAGGTAGTGCCTGGATAGACACAATCCGCCTCGCCTGCAGACGATCATCGCAGATCCAACACCGACAAAACCAAAAAATAAACAAAAAAAAAAAAAAAAAAAAACTTATTATGTAAACGAGCTGTCATCGGGCTTGCCTTAGTACGGCCATAATTATTTGAAGCTTCAACAACCTTCTGAAGTTAGATGAGCCGGCTTAGAGTAGGGAGGTGCTGAATTCTTATAATCTGTCTGGGAGAAAACAATTCGGGACAAACGGGAAATTCACATACAGACGTCTCACTTTTCTATGCAATTCTCTCCATATAAAACGTTAACATAACGTCTGTGTAACTATATGGTTTATAAAGTTCCGGTTGTCTTCTACGAGAGTTACGAGTTGACGCTGGCGTCGCTTCGATCCCTTTTACTGCTATCAAGTGTCGAAAGCCGGTCTCCCGTTAGCGCCCGCGGACATCGTAGAGGTGGCAGAAACGTAACCGTCAGAACCATCGCACTAACTAATGCTATTTAAACAGATACCTTAAAAGCATCTACGCAAAGAGCATGGGAGCACACTTGAGTACTATACTTCGTTTAAACCAGCAAGTGTTATAAGGTACTGCCGTCAGATATGGCGATTGGTTTGCGGCGATTGGATCGCTTACTTTGGGGTGCTTCTTACTCTGACTCTTTGAAATGCTACATGTAATATAGTCCACTGATGGCTCATAAATGCAATCGCTGTCTTATGAAAGACGCTACTTATGAAGCTGGTAGAGCGAAAACAACTTTTAGGCAATAAAAAAGGAGAAAATAATCTTCTAACGAAATACGATGGTCACTTTCTACTATATTCAATTTAAAGAGATTTCTCAACCCATTAAAAGAATCGTAGAAAAGTCTATTTATTATACGTGTAGGAATTCACGATCGCACCATTATTGGAGAAGCTCGTAAGTAAATACGATAATTCTGGCCGTATCGTGAATGACATCTTTCCGTGAATCGTAGGATATATATATACACATATATATGTTTCATTGCATTAGCTGGTCAATTGTAGTTGGCAAAAAAATACTCTTACATATGCCTATATCGTATGAATAATAACGTTGATGGTTCGTGTGAACGTAATAGGTTTTTTACTACATTATTTGAGCTTTTAAGTAAAACTGTAGCATTAGGTAAGTTGCTCAAGATAGTCTGGCTTCAATAGAGGATAACTGATTTCTCAAAGTAGCACTTTCAACGGTAGAGAGATTACGGCAGCAATCTATCGCTGAGGCAAAGGCCAAGCTCGCCTTGGCCAAAAAAGGTGGCCAAATTCGATAAAATTTAACGAAAACATAAAAGTGTATCGTCACATGCGGCTACGTAGAAGTTCGTTGTTGCCGCCGATAATAATTCGATCTCACTACCTTTTTAGCTCGTTGTGGGCTATTTTATAATGGGTCAAAACTATATATATATATATATATGTTTATGGTGTGTATATATATGGCGCCTTTCGATATATTATAAGGGTAGCCAACATGCTTTGGCAACAGCTTACCTTGAATTTGGCTACTAAATTAACACGCCTCGCGTACCACCACATGTTGGTATAAAATATAATCGAACTCACACTAGTGTCAAAAATCAATCCCTCATTTTCTGGGCCGAATCATAGCAATTTTCCATAAAGTGCGTTCACTTCGTGCCATTGCCTTTGATCACACGCTAATGGATAATCTTAAACTCATTGTTATAAGTGTCGCGGCAAAGGTCTGTATAAAGGCTGCACTCGCTACCCGGTATCTTGGTCGTCGGTCTAGGCAGTTATAGATGAGAGAGCCTATTACAAAATAAGATTATGGATATCGCAGCAAGAGGGTTTTTGCATAATGATGAACGCTATCCGTCTTTCAACAGATGTTGCTTTTGTTGCACAAAAGTACACTGGCACATTCTGGGCTTAAGCTCCACACATTTCATTCTATTCCTAGTTCACCATTGAAGAAATATTGGCCTTCAGTGACAGGGGGACTGAGCACAAAGCGAGCAAACTTCAGTTCCGACGAACACCAGAATGGTACTTCAGTGAGATGGGCTGGAAGCGTTCACTCTGATGAGTAGAGATTAACGCCAACTGGTTACAACTGATAAAGATTCAGAGCAGCACTTTTTGAGCTTAAAGACATTTTGGCATAATCGGTAGACCATCGTCTCAGTTTTTCCAAACAACTAACGTACAATATTCTAATTGTCGACCGAAGACACATAGCGGATAGCCTCTCATAGAGACGATCGGCCTGTTCGTGGCTGACGGTCCACAGAAGCATTCGCTGTCTGTATGTGTATCTGTGCGCAACAGAGTATACTTTTTCACCACTTTGTCCCGTCGAAACGCTAGCCCCCCACCCGTAGCTGTGTTTCAGGCACCGCTGACAACGGATACGGACGACCAGAGCGACAGACAAAGTATGAGCGCACTCGATGCATCGATCGCATAAGCTGCAGCAGCACCGTTAGTCGTACCAACGCCTTTAGTCACGAACGCTTTGTTCTTGCGTGTGCGCCAGCTGACCATCCATCGGCTACAGGGCCAAGTACAATTGGGTAGGGGCAACAGATACGGCGAGGGCGAATTCGCGTTGGTGGAAAGAAAACCTGCAACTAGACGAATGAGCCACGGCTGGTCAAACACTTGCAGAAGTGTCGAACTGTTATTGCCGTTCTCGGAGTGGGTGAACGTCCACGGAATCCCTCCATATGATTCGGTACCACCTTATCGCTCCATGCTTTTGGTATTCGTTGGCGACGTACGGACGTTGATGTTTACCATTAATCGCCTACGGACTAGAGAAACTGGGACGACCTGCATCTGGTTGTCGCTTAGTCCCAGGTGCAAACAAAAAAGGATTTAGTTAAGATAGCACAGATCAACCTACTGCGCCTGATAGTCACTATGTTTTGGTCTCGTCCGCGTAAAATGGTTACCAGTAGCGTATTTACATGCTGCGTTGTTGACTTCGCAGTGTGCTACGAGTCTCACGCAAAGCCCATACGAGTATGGCGCTCTTAAGAAACCTTTTATTTCGAGAAGGAATAAACTGTAACAACAACAGGACCAAATCGATCTCGACTGCACCCTTTTGATACTATAAAGAGTAACATAGTTTTCTGTCAAACAAAACGAAAACGCCTTCATTAAGCCAACGAGCCGCATGTACGGCGTCACGGCGGATTTGGGGCAATTTAAAATTTTGCAAAAGAATCATTTGAAAGGAAATAAAATGAACACACTATACGTACATCATCACTTTATTGGTCATCAAAGGACAAATATTATTTTTTTGTGTTTCATGACATAGCGAAGGATACATAAGAGATGTTCGGCTAGACAAACAATAGGACCATTCGATCTGAGCAGACAGAACTTGTTTATGTCGTAGACGTAAAATTGTACAGATGATGCTATTCTATGAAAGTTTGGCAGAAACAGGTGACGAATTCAAATACGAATAAACGGGAATGCATTCATTCGTTACTTTTGACGCCAAAAAAGTTCTAGTTTTTACTAGAACAGAGCAACAAACTCATCGCGGCAAAACACTGCGTAATTTTCGGAATTTGAGCGAAAATCAGTTATTATCCAACATTTCGGTGATGAATAAACTCCTACTAGAATGAAAAATTTATTCTCCCGGCCGAAATCAGCAGCCATATCATGCGAGTTTCAAAAAAGAAGGTAAGCCAGAAGATTCTTAAAAAGTAGATCAAAATATTTAAAAAAGAATGGATAAATTAAGATTTTTTAGTGAATGTTTTAGAAAAGAGAATGTCAGGTTAAGTTCCAACGGTTACTTATTATCCGCCTTTTGGATTTTAAAGCTGTTTTGAGCCCGTTACAAAATATTTAGTTTTGTTGAAATTTTTCGTAGGTAGAGTCCGCACCCGCCGATGTTGCTTGTGGTACGGTTATCATTAACAAGTGATTCATTCAACCATTAAACTTTCAGATCTTGAATTGAAGCTATAATTGCAGTGAATAGTCGTAATATTAGATAAACATGACCGTCAAGAAGGATACTTCTGACGCACGCAAAAAAAAAACCGTTAAAACATTGTTTTTGCTGAGATGCAGTACTAGAAGCACCTTATAGAAAAACGATTTAGGCGCCCCCTATACGCTCCATGGGCACCGAAACATTTTCTATGGTAGAAAGGCCAACACTGATTTTCAAGAAAGACAAAACGTCAAGCGACGAATGAACAAAAATTCGGATGTGATTAAAAAAATTTGATAATCTCTACTTTTGTGCCGCTGTGACCAGTTTAGGTCTGACTATACACGAATGGTCGTATAAGAACATTTCCAGCACGATGACTTCACTTAATAACTATACTAACACGAGCCTTCGAGTATCATACAATGCAATGTATCTTTCTAATAAAATTGTTCTATTTATAAAAATGGGCTAAAACAAAATGACTAATATTATATATCGCTCTGAAAGCGTAA